ACTACGACACACATTGGATTACTCGTGAATCAATTTTTGTTCTATAACTTCGTGTTTACGTCGCGCCGAGTCGTGTTGTGCCCCGTGCTACAAGGCGGAACTTTTTCAAATGCTTCTTCCGGGTCTCTAACACACGTTTCTAGAACTTTGTACAAGTGTCGCGTCGCGTGACGTGTTTTTGCGCGGCCTTCGAGAAAGTCTCCGCGCAATCGCGCGCACCTGACGCATCTCAATAATGCAGAATATATACCGCGATATACTCTGCATGTTGGTGGTACTTTTTTTATTGGTATCATGTTTACGGGGCCGCGTCTGCTTTGCATAGTACAGAGGAGGGAGGTTGGTTTTAATCAAATTCTGAGATGTGTGTCCGTGACCGCTGCTTGCCACGTGGTATAAGATAATGACAGATCGCAACTTTATGGAATCCTATATACGGTGTCATGCACGTGCACGATTATGCTAAAGCAGCCGGCGATCAATCCGGATATCTTAACGACTTAAAAGATTAATAAGCCAATCAATTTCTCGGTTAGAGATTTGTTTCGATTAGGGTTGTATATGCTAAAGTAACCGCCCATCATAACAATCGGAAGTCTCGCGACTTGAAAAAAGATTAATGGACTGATTAATCTTACGAGCGAACTTTCGATTAGATTGTGGGCGAAAATACTCAAGCTTTTAGCATATTGTTGCCCCTGTCCAGAAATTTAATTCTAATTGTTTATTAATTATAATTTATATATAGTTGAACATTTGTCAGGGTGTCTAGCAGTTAGGGAAATCTAGAAAACCGGGCATTGTCAGGGAATTTGATAAATCTGGAATTGTCAGGGAAAAGACAGGAAATTTTACTATTTATCTGGATTTTTCCACATTATTCTACATTTGTTTCAATCATTTGAAATTTTTATTAAATAAATACTCGTATTATTTTATTTCAATGTGTGTGTATTATATATTTAAAAATATATTATAACATTGCCCAAGAATCATAATATTGTTTAAGAACTTTATTTTAAATCTTTTTTTTATTAAAAATTAATACATTAATTTTATTAAAAATAAAATTTGATATAATATAAATAAAAAAGATTATTTAAATAGTTTATAGTGACATGTTTGTTTCGATTATAGTACATAATGCAGATTGTATAATTGATTTTATTTTTTGTTTTAACTTCCGAACCTTTTCATTGTCGACAAAAATATCTCAAGGATTTCATGATGTAATATTTAATTGATTTATCATATAGCTATATGCAAATGATATACGTATTTAGAAAATAAAATAACTAAAATATATAATAAACTATATAATAAAATATAATAAAATATAATAAACTAAAAAGTCAGAGAATTTTTTTCATTGAGTCTGCTGGACATCCTATTTATATAACTCTGTGGCTTATAATTTAATTAATTTACACCCCCGCATTTATTTTTTTTTGCTATTTTATATACATATATACAATCTATGAATTTGTCTCTGTATTTTATTTCCTACATTTTTCTATGTATTTATCTTTTTGTGTACACATATTTCTTTGTATTTCTCTCTTCTCTACCTGCATATTTCTATTTTTCTATATTTACAAACGACTAATATATAGTACATCGTTTAACAAGAACAATGAATTTGACCGTGTCTATTGTTGACGTTCGATTTTAAATTGTAGCCAACACGATCTCACGATTCTCTCGTCATTCACTCTCGTTAGTCCTTATTGACACGCACAGCTTGAGAGAAACGATATTCGGAAGTGACTGCCAAAGGCAAGGACTCGATGTCGACGTGAGAGATTTCTTTCCAGTCCGTAGACTGGATCAGCGACTAATGGCAAAATATTTTGCACTTCCTCTCGGTTCAATGACGTGTCGCGTTTCACGGGAAACTCGAGCGTGTGTTTCCGCATGCATCAATTTGCCGGGGGAATAATGTTCATTCAAACATCCGAAGTGACGCAAACCGGCGTAAAATTCCTCTTTTTCGCCCTCCCTCGTTTAGCAATTGTAATTGTTTGCTATGATATGTTTAAAAACAGCACATATTGGAATTACTCGCCTACGTATATCACTGATGCACAATTGTACAGAGAACAGATTTAATTTTCAGTAAATAATTGTTTCTCTCTCGTAAATACTTCAACATTAATCTATGATTTTTATAAATTTAGTTCTCCCAATATTATGAATATTAAAAATAAATTAACTTGTTTTCGATATTATTTATATAAAAATGATAATATTTATAAGGGAGTCCCACGCACAAAAAAATTTTTTTTAATTCATTAGTTTACTCCGACATGGGAATCACCTTGTTGCGAATAAATTTCATCCTCAGAGGGATGCCTGCTTTTTGACGCGTAAAGTTACATCGTTAATAGTGTAAGTGATCCCGCCACCATTACTGAATTTCGATCCACTCTCCTTGTTTGGTGGAGAGACCGGGTATCTATACAGAATGTCCCAAAATTAATACCTGTTAATGGCAGATACCTGGGATCATTTAGAGACGATTTTTCTTTAGCGAAAATGTCGAGGAAGACCATCATTTTTGCTATCATGTATCTTCTTAACTAAGCCTTAAATTAAAATTCTATTAAAGTAAACTGTACATCAAATTAATAAAATTGTTAATATTTTATTTCCACAAGGCTTTTTGCGAAAAACTTATTTTCAATCGCTTATAATTCGAAAATGATTGATGCCTCGCCATTTTCGTTGAGGAAAAATCGCCTCCAAATTATCCCAGGAATTTGTCACAATTTTGGGACACCCTTTATATCTGCTGTCCGCGATATTCGATCCGCGTGAATAAAGCGCGAATCTATAAGTGCAAGCATACTCTAGGATTATAGAACAGGGGGTTGGCTGTCCACGCAGGTGCGCGCTAGAGGATTTGTCAATTATGAATGAGGTCGCGAGGGTAGGACACCTTTACGTGTCCGACGACGATCAGTCTGTCATCCCGGCTGGTCCGTGGAATATTAGACTCGCGCGCGAATAGATTTCAGTCGCTCATCGCTTTTTTCCGCCTCTGACAGATTCCTCCAATTCCTCTTGTTTCTTCACTTATCTTCGCTCGACTTCTTCTCTCGATCGGCACCGCTGGATCGGTGCTGGATCGTTCTTCAGGGTGTCTAGTGATCCGGGAAATCAATCAAAACATTTAATTGATTTATCATATAGATATATGCAAATTATATATTTGGAAAAATAATACTAAAAAGTCAGGGAATTTTTTCATCGAGTCTGCTGGACACTTTGCTGTTGCAAAGAGAGACGGATCTTCATCTTCACCCTGAAGAGACCATATCGCTTCGAGAATGAACATCATCTTTCTCGCGAGGTTGGCTCTGCAATTGCTGGGCGCCAAGTGGCGGCAATCGAGGAGAGGAATGTTCCGGAAGTGTCGATACCAGCGTGGTTTCTATTAATTTTTTTTTTTTTTTTTTTTTTTTTTTACAATTGTTTCGCAGACCTTTCTATCAGCGAAAGGGGCGCGTTCGCCTCATTGTGCACCGTCGCGGTCAAGGCAGGCTTGTTAAAGGCAACCTGGCTCGTTGAACCCGATGAGGTGTGGTTATTCTCGCGCCTCGAGGAGAGACCGAAACTGGTTCGTTAGTCATCGCAACGTTGTTTTTTTTCGCTCCGTTCGGCTTTATCTCATCTCGATAGCTCTCCTTTTTATCCTTCTCGGTTCCGCAAGAAGTTGGCTGGCGATCAACACTTATACAACTATTTATAATCGCTACTATTTTTTGATTTTTATTTGTCAACCGCTGTCTTCTATCCCTATCTCATCCATCATCGCCTATTATTTCCTCGATATTCTGTCATTATTCAGCAGAAGCGATAAGCCGAATAAAAGCTGATATAAGTAGAGCATCGCGCATAGAGTATTTATATGAACCTTGTGACACATATGTGCTTAATCCATCGCGTTTACCAATCGTTATTCGAAAGAATGTTGCCGTCGTGCTGAATTATTGGTGAATCATCGCATTTGACAATTGCACGCGATAACGAGAATAATTTTTACCGAGAATCGCTTTGACATCTGTCAGCTTCTGTTCGATAATAACCAAGCGGATTAATCCGATTGGCTCACGTCGATTGTCGACCAGCTGGTAGTCGCTGTTGAAGCATTATTCCCGAGAAAAACTCAGGAGATACCCTAAACCAATAATAATAAAAATAATAATATTGTGTCTCACGAACGGATCGAAACGATGATGGAGTTCGAAACGCAAGCGTTGATCGAGCTCTGCTTCTCAACTCGCCCACTCACAATAACCAGGGCAAGGTACGTGACTTTGAACACCTTGCTCGGTGTTGCGACTGTGCGATAATCTCTTGCGAGAGTAAATAACGTCACGCGTATCTTATCCAAATCTAGAATTAATCGCCAGACATTTGATTCAATCGAGAAGAAAAGATTATATACTTTGTGAAACAAAAAACTGAACATGATGTATCGCAGAAACAAATCACTTTCGTTTATCATGAATGATAATTGTAGTTGATGACGTAGACTGCTGTATGACGCAGGAAATCTGATGTTACGAATTAGCGTATAATTTTTTGGTTGGCGAAATTTATCTGTTTTTTTATTGAATTATTTTTTTTGATTTGTTAATTCAACGCAATAATTCATTTTTATTTTATATTGTAGAAGTAAACAACAACAAAAATAAAATAACATAGTTGAAACAATAAAATATTCCCGATCAACAGTATTAATTGTCATATTTATTTATCAGAAATAAAAGTGCTTTATTTTCTGATCAAAACATCCAAATTATATATAACGCACTCTCTGACTAATGAATATCTATTTTTACACTGTAATTATGCGAACCATAGATAAATAATTCTGAAATAAAAGAAAAAAAAAGAAAAATGTGTGTTGGAGTATCGAATAAACAAGTCAGAGCGATCTCACGAAACCACCCACTCTCCATCGAGTCCCAGCTAATGTAACGTTTTGTTTCCAGGTCTGCGGGGTCCATAGGCGCACGGTCGGCACCCAGCACACCCTTACAAGCTGTCCCCGATGTGCCGCAGGCCGCGGGCCAGCAATCGATCAGCGGGTCCCAGCTCACTGTGGCCGGCGCCAGCAGCTACCCTCAGCCTCCTAGGAGCCCAAGTCACGCGGCCTTGCGATGTAACGAGAGGTGAGTGAAATGCTCCCATTTCAGGGTGTCTGACAGAGTGAATTTTCTGTTGGAATTTACCCTGAAAATCGTGGTAATCATGGACAATATGGTATTAGGGAGAATTTTATAAGAATTTCTCTTAATATTTATCACAATAAAAAATATTAATATGTACATAGTAAATTTACTATACTAAATTTTATTATGTATATATACTAAAATTTACTATGTACATATATTAATATTTTTTTATTGTGATAAAAAATTAGTAAATTTTAGTATATATACATAGTAAAATTTACTATAGTAAATTTACTATGTACATATTAATATTTTTTATTGTGATAAATATTAATCAGAGAAATTCTTATAAAATTCTTATAAAATTTTACTATGTACATAGTCAAATTTACTATGTACATAGTAAAATTCACCGAGCATATTTTATATTTTATTGCGGTAGATATTACTATTTTTATTGTGGTAAATATTAATTAAATTCTAAGAGAAAATTCTCTCCGTATAGCAGTGAGGAAAATCTGGAAAACCGCGGGCAATGTCAGGGAATTTTATGAATCTGGAATTGTCAGGGAAAAAAGTCAGGAAATTTCATTATTTATCTGGCTTTTCACATTATTCTACATTTGTCTCCATAATTTGAAATTTTTTATTAAATAAATATAAACTTTTCCTCGACTCTCAGCACGCTAATTTTCTATGTTATTAAAATTCGATTCATCTACAGCGTGTTCGTTCATTTATATTTTTATCGTCGTGTTATTTTATTTCAATGTGTTTAATAGAGCCAAAACTAAAAAATTTGATATAATATAAATAAAAAAGTGATTATTTAAATAGTTTATAGCGACATGTTTCGATTATCGTACATAATGCAGATTGTATAATTGATTTAGATTTTTGTTTTACCTTCCGAACCTTTTCATTTTTGACAAAAATATCTCAAGAATTTCTGAAATTTTATGATTTAACATTTAATTAATTTGTTATATAGATATATGCAAAGTATATATGTATATTTGGAAAAAATAATATTAAAAAGTCAGGGCAAAAATTAATTTCTGGCCTTGGAAAATTTGAAAAAGTCAGGAGATTTTTTTCATTGAGTCTGTCGGACATCCTGCATTCGTAAAACCCACGAATTTTTGTGTAATCACGAATCTAAGAGCTCGAGACCGCCTTCCCGCGCAAAATTAAACGATCGATATAACGTTAACGTTATATTATTAATTAATGCACTTATAGACACAAGTTGCGGAGACAAAGTATGGATATTACAGAAGTTGAGATATTAATTTTTAAATCGAAAGTTACAAACGCGACATAAATTATGCGATTTTCATATTTTTTAATTTTAATATCCCATTTATTTTTTCAACTTTTTTACTTAGCGGTCGTATGATGTATTAGATGATGCTTTATGGCTTTGTATGTGCAAGGAACCATTTTTTTTGATATTCTTCTCGCAATATTACGGACAGTGATGAATAGCTTTGCACATACGCGCGCTTTTAATAACGTTATCTACGTCGAATATCTATTTTCGCGAAGTAGTTGCACGTATGCTATCGGCTCTCGAAAATTATCGATAAGGCATCTCTGATAATGATAATGTCGCACCTGCGCACACATTGCAGAAGAGGGACGGAGGAGAGTGATTATAGACGCGGAAAATAAGACGTTACATGCTTCTGCGATAAGACGTTATAATTATCTTTTGTTCCTTCCTTTCTCTTTCTCGGGAAACGTTTCCGTGCGATATAGTTGCCAGATCACAAGTATCTACCTGTGTATTGAATGTCTCTATTGACTGCACAGTTATTTACGGTGCTCAAATATTATAACGGCACACGTGGACGGAATGTATTGGGAATGTGAGGTCAGACAACTTCCTTTGATCGAGACTTGAGTGAAAAATATATCTGCAAGAAAAATAATTACGTAATTGCTAAAAGCGAGCGGAAATTTTAGCAGCACTTCTCTGCATCCAATTAACAGATCTTAATTGCAACGATGCATTTTCTTATAGTATAAATATGGTATTTCTTATCTCTAATCTTCTCGAAAGCATGTATAATATATATTGAACAAAATTTGAAACTGGATTTTCTATTTTCTTATCCATCGATTATAGATTAGATCACATGGTGCTTAGTAAAACTCGATTGGAATGATACAATTCGGTTTTATATGAATCATACGTTATATTTCTCTCACATATTTACAATTGCGTAAGAATGCTTTCGTCACTTTGTAAATTTTTATCAGACCTGTAAATTGATATCGCGTTAGCACTTATCGATTTTTGCAGATAGAATATAAGTATCTTTTAAAAATTTAAAAATTTGCGTATCGAATCAGATAATACTCCGATGTAGATTGGAATTTTCACTGCGTGTTTAGCGTTAAATATCGCGTACTTGGACAGCGCTTCTTGCAATGTTAAATCATGTCGAGAATAGAAGTGTGTTTTGAAACAGTTCACTCGTGTGGGAATGTTTTGCGGCCATTCTTACAATAGCTGTGTTACACCGTCCATAAACGGTTATTACGATACGAAACATGACGTCGCAGGCATTATCTGCGTAAAAATTGCCTTTTGTGTTTAAGCCGATATACAAAATATAAGAATCTCATCAATTTCTCGATAGAGTATAATGTTTCTTAAATAAAATTAAAAACCGATTTTTTTCTCGTATGAAAATAAAAATGTTTATTTTCGTAAACAAAAAAAATTATCGAGCAAACAATTCTTTTTCACAAAAAATGACGTTTCATAAACTTTTTACGTACGAATACGATTTGACCTTTTCGACGTGGAAACGATTTATTCATGCAATTTTTTTAATGTTTACAAAGTCCAACTTAGCCAACTTGAGAATTTTTAATTGAAGAAATCTGCGCATTTTTTTACTATATTTTTTTACAGACATTTTGACACATCAAAGAAACTGATATTACTCGCGCACACGCGATAAATATGTATAATTCTTTTTTTTTATGCTAAGTCTTTTCATTAATGCTAGTCCCTATGTATAAGCTTTTATATCTCATTCATATTTATGCTGTAGAAATGCTGTTCTATTCAAGAAAAAAAATTCAGAGGTCAGTTTTAACAACTAGCCCGATAAAAATTATGATCGCTTTTTATATGCAATGACATGTACAGATGATATCGCGACAGACAAATCCGGAATAAGAAAGAGGCGTGTGGAAAGTATAGTCCGCTACAGACGTCACATTAAATGTTAATGCTCCGAAAAAAAAAAACGCGACAAATGGGAGATAATTCGATATCGCTTCCTGTCTCGTGCGTGGAACATCTTGACGAAATGATTCCGCGCCGGATCGATCCACGCTTCCCAACCTTCTCCATCACAATAAAGCCTCCTCTTATCGTATCCCTTGCCCTCTTCATCGTTGGCCATTTTTTTTTATCTCGTCGCGTATCATTATCGGGCTTACGTTTGCATCCGCCATTTATCGCCGTCGCGGTTTTTTTTCGCGGTTCCGGAGAAATCCTCTTAATCGAACGCGATGGCTGAACGGACACACTCCAGACAGTCTCCCACGTGTTATCACCGACATCAGCAGCGGATTGTTAAACCCCAGCGCGCGATTCTACTTGCATCAGTCTCGCGTTAAGCCGCACATCGAGCGGTCGCCTTCACGTATGAAGGAAAGATGAATCGAATTGAGATCAGTGATTCGGATTCGGATTGACGTCCGGACATTTTTATTGCAATTTGTTACTCCGGTTAGAAGAAATCTGACTGTAAGAGGAGGGCTAGAGGCTGTACATATACTTAGGCATTTAATTAGTTTTATTTGTATTATTTTATTAGATAATCTGTGTACTCTCTCTCGAGATGCAGTATTTGAATTTTGTCAATTATTACAGATAAGGTCTGAATTTAACTTCATATTTCATTTTTCTAAATTAATTTAATTATCCATTTTTTATTAAATAATATATGATTATAAATTTGTAGGTCAATATAGAAAACTGTGTTAGATATCTTGCACAGTTTACTTGATATTTAGTTGTTGCCTTTTTTTTAACGCAACGTAAGAAAAGAATTTGATAATTTAAATGAAGCATTTTATATTTGTCAAATTGAAAAGAATCCTCTTACGAAACAATTGAAAAGAATATATTTGCTTTGGAATAGTGTTGAAATTTTTAAAAGTGAAGGCTTTCGTATTTTTCTATGATACGCGAGTTTTGTCACTAGTCGGTGTAAGCAAATCTATATTTATCACTATCAAATGATAGTGGTTTTTTATACAAATTGTGGATCACTGCAAACAGAAGTGTTTATATGAAATTGCCTCGAGTTTTGAAACGCACAATTGAAGAGGGGAGAACGACGAAAAGAAAAAATGCAAAGATGGGCCAAACACGAGTGGATATGTGGGGTAATGATTTGTGGAGTATCTCTATTATGGGCAAAAGGAACAAAACAGTTTCTGAACGGAGCAAGTCTGACAAGTTAGTTTTTATGTTTCTTCGATAGACTATATTATATACATATTTATTATATAACAAAGTTGTCATATTTTGTTAACAAGCAACATCACATAAATTTGTTGATATTTTATTAATTAATATTTAAAAAATGCAACCACATAAATAAGATAATGCGAAGAAGTGAGTTTTTAATTTTTTTAACTTTGGTCGAATCGCGCGCGATAAGATATGGAAATAATATAAGTGATAAGAATCAATTTGCTTGATATTATTTTCTCAAGCAGAAATTAAATTATTTGTATAACTTATATTTCGGGATGTTAAATATTTCGATACTTTTTAAATTAATTTTTTGATTTAATTTAAATCGGAAATCAAGTTCATTATCGATTAATTTAAAAGCGAGATATCTTAAATCACCGAAGTTTGTCGCAATTAATTACCATATTTAATTATCGAGAAAAGATATTTTTTAATCTTAAAACTTCTCTCGTCTGTGTTATATACGAATACGATGATATATAAACAGGAATACGTTATATAATATGTTAAAATATGATGCAAGAGAAATATATTAGTCTTAAGCTTCGTCAAGAAAAACATAACTCATCTTGTAGCGACCCGTTTAACTAGTTATCATCATGACCTTTTAGCGTAAAATTAACGATCCCTGAATTTCTTTCCGTGTTCCATAATCGCATTTGGATATACTGTAGAATTTCTAGTTAACGTTTATTATACGATACGGGTATAAAAGTTGAACGTGTAAGCAGGATATTCTTCTTTGGCGTCTCTTCTTACCTGATAATATGTATCTTTAAGAAGTATTCTAAGTGTGTGATGACGTAAAGGGGATATATAGTGTCGACAAAAGGGATCTTAGCTGACCTTTCAGGATTATAAGGATTTTGTTTCACTTAATAATAAATTGCAATTCAATAAATCTTTTATCTTTTCATTTTAATAAAAATATATATTGAAGATGAAATATGTTTGAATTCTTTTTTAAGGAAACAGGAATTTATTTGTTGTTTATTTAAGAATTTTAATTTACACCATATAAATACAAGTGTTACAGGAGGAAAGATCAGCATTTTAGGATATAATTGTATACATCACTTTAAATAAGAAACATGTTTTTTGCTCTAAATGATGTGTATAATCAAATCCTAAAATATTGAAATTCTTCTTGAAACACGCAGTACATAAATATTATTTTCTCATTTTGTTTAATCTAATCGAATATGATTACACGCGCGAAGCAAATTCTTTGATAATGCAATCTCAAGAATTGCAACGCATAACCAAAATAATTATTGTTGCATAAAAATTCAATATTAAAATATTTAACGAAAAATTTTCTACAAGAATTTTCGATTAAAATATCTACGCTTTCATTAGTTTCGCGCGTCTCCGTATGTCACGCTGCGCGCTTCGCGCGGGACTGATCACGTGATCATCAGTCTCGCAGTCGCGATATCTCGAACGGGAATCAGTCGCGCGCGAGACGCGCAGCGCGATGGACGTATGGGGTGTACTAATCTTATGGAAAGAGAAAGCTATTTTCGTCGGACCCAGTTCATTCTTGGCTATGAAGTTGGGTTTCACCGTCAGTTAACATCTCCAACTGTGCAGAGTCAGGTGGAGATTATTCTCGTTCGAGACGTGTAGCATGATAGATTTATGGGACATGTCCAAGAAGACTAAAGAACAGGAGACCAAACTCCTTAGAATTTTAGTGGTGGGAGTAAGTCAAAATACAGTCTCATTTCATGGGTTTGCGGTAAAATCGCCGGCCAATTCATGAACTACAGCGTGCTGGACTTCGATGTTTTATGCAATATAACTAAGAACATAAGCTTGGCATCTTGGCAGAATGTTAATTTTGATGTCGTAAGTATTAATAAATAATATACGATACTTAGGAACGACGAAGTTCACATAGGAAACCTTTTTTTGATAAAACAAGCAAAATCCAGCACGTAGGAAATGAGACCATATTTTGACTCACCCCCACCACTGGAATTCGGTTTCCTGGGAGTCGATTGTGTAACTTTTTCTAAAGTAAAAATGTGAAAAGTGAAAATTTTCTTCCAATCACACATCGATTTCATTTTAAAATCAATGCGTGATTGGCGGAAATTTTTCACTTTTCACGTTTTCACTTTCGAAAAAGTTACACAATTGACCCCCTGGTCTCTTCTTGGACATGTCTAATGAAAAGGATAAAAGGAGAGATATTTTCACTCTTATTGGCTGTGAAATTAGGCTTTGGAGATGGCACCGTTGTTGTTCGGAATCTTGCAGTCAGTCTCGAGACGTGCATGTGCAGCATGGATGTGCATATTAGATACACGAGTCGAAGAATGGAAGCGTTATATATTTTGATCAGAAGATTCTGGTAAACAATTCTATTTTCTTTTTTTTTGCATTTTTTGTTAAAGATTTGAATGTTGAATTTTTATGCATTGCATAATTAATTAATATATTTTTATGCAAGCATTGCTTAAATTATTTTTTTTGCATGCGTGGCAATTTTATTATTGAAGAATAACTTCGCTTTGCGCGCGTAATTATATTCGATTAGATTAAACAAAAGGAGAAAATATAAATATTTATATACAGTGTGTTTTAGGAGGAATGGTCAGCATTTTAGGCCATTATTGTTCACATCATTTTAAGAAAATTTATATGAACATGTGTTCTAATAAAAGTACAACGTTATCAAGATTAATATCGAATACAATTAACTTATTAGATTCTATAAAATAATTACATGAAATTTTAAGCTTACAATACATTTGAATGATTAATTAATAATAATTAGTAAATAATATAATTTTAAATAATTAATTTGAATCTACTAAATTAATAAATGTATTTATTCTTAAATTTGAACACGTTGTATCTTTATAACAATAATATATACAGAATAGGACACATGTTCATATAAACTTTTTTGCTTAAATGATGTGTGCAATCAAGTCGCTTTAAGTTATAGAATGCTATAACTATTTCTTCACATAATTACCAAGTAAATTATTCTATCGCGTTTATGTGTCTGATATCGTAAGTGGAAGTCTTATATATATTTTTTCTCTCTTTTTTTCAGTCACCTTTCGAAGCCGTTGAGTAGGAGTACACCATCGATGGCAGCTGGCGGCGCGCAGACTCCAGCAAAGGTTAGCAGATCCTCGTCGAGGTCGTCGCCGACGTCCACTAGCAGTGCGAGACAGAAGAAATTCCATAGGCATTTCAGTCAGGTAAAACAAGAATTCTTACCATTCCCTCCTTTTTCCTTCCCTTTTTACACAAAACGCATAATTTTTAAAAATATTATGGTTGCTAACGACGTTCTCTTCACAATTTTTATCACAATCTGTAATAATATTCATAAATTACTATTTAATTTTTCTCAAAACCAGGGTTGGAAAGTAACGCATTATTTGTAGCACCATTACAGTTACTTTTTTTGGTAACGATTTAATCACGCGCCGTTACTTTTTTTTGTCCGAAACGAAAAAAAAAGAACGTTATATTGTTACTTTTGAATAGATTTCTATGGCTATTCACTATTCATTTTAGGTTTTAAATATAAGATACACTATTGATTTCTGCACACAAAATGTCACAAGAGGTATATATAAAATACTAATAAAAATATTTACAAATAACCATTTTTAAAAATATTTTATGTAGAACTCATATAATATTTAAAAAAAGCTAACGAAAAGGAACGATTTTTAATCGTTACTTGTAAAAAGTAACTTTCCCAACTTCTCAAAATGATTGTAATTGTTTAGAAAAAAGATATGAAGAAATTTTTTTTAAATGTCTTTCTCAACAAGTAATGTAATTCGCGTCATTCAGATTTGTTCGTCATATTTATCCTCTTTTGTATCCGGTAGATAGCTTTCTCAGAATGTAGGGATGTAAGTACGTCAATGCATGCCTCGCCTGCACATGATATAAAAATACCTTCCCTTATCTAGCGGCCAACTTCAAAGAAGCAAAACACCCAGATGTTTAAATATCAATCGATGACATACATTATTGAGATGTATCAGACTCATGATTTTCGAGTGCACAGCCAGATTTTCTCGCCAGATACAAATTTATAATAGCATATATCGTTACACTGTATGCGAAAGCGTTAATTGATGAATGCAAGTGTGGCAGAAATGATATACACCTTCACATGTTTCATAAACAAAGTATCACGTATCAACTCGAGATCGAGTGCGTCTTTAGAACCCAGTTCGTCGGCTTTAGATTCAACCTCGACGATTGAAGCATAGAATTTCAAGTAATCCTAGGATTAGTGTTTGCTATTATCTAAATAGAATTATGTAGGTGATCGTCTAGATGAAGTTTTGGCGTCATCTTATCTTTCTATGATAAAAATATGTATTATTTATATCTGTATTTTGGATTTAAAAAAGTATTAGCTTTACTAAATTATCTAGAATAATATTCAGATAATTTGGTTTAGAGTCATAGGCCATGAAAAGAAATTCAAGTATGAATATATTTTTATATTTCTTCTATAATTTATTTTTTTAAAACTCAGTTTACATAAGTGGTTTACATAAGTCTTAAAAATGGAATGATTTAGATGAGTCGCTATATATATAATTTAATCTTTTATCTTAAAACAAACTCATCTTTAGCTTATCTATGATGAATTTACATATTTTTATCTCGTCTTTACCTAACTAATTTTAAAATCATCTAAGCACAACACCGCCTAGGATACAACTCGAAATCATTATTCCTCATCTAATAAGGACAAAACGAAAAGAAATCCTCATGACATCGCGCGAAATGCCATCAAGATCAGCGAAAGAGCAGTGCCGACCTAATACGTAGCCTTCGAAACTTCGTTTTCAGGTGGCGGAGGACGAGCGAGTGCTGAATTATTACAGCTGCGCCCTGGTGGGCGACATCCTGCTGCAGGGTCACCTGTACATCACGCCCAACTACTTCGCCTTCTACAGCAACGTCTTCGGGTACGTGACGAAGCTGCTGATACCGACGACGTCGGTGCTGAAGATCAGCAAGGAGAAGACCGCTCGGATCATACCGAACGCGGTGGCGGTCGCCACCGAGGAAGAGCGACATGTCTTCTGCTCGTTGCTGTCGCGCGACTCGACCTACAAGCTGATGAAGCAGGTCTGGGACGCGGCGATGGAGCCGCGAGCCACCCCGGACGTCGACGTTCTGCCGGCGATCGACAACGACGACGCCAAGCTGATTGCGCCGGCCGCGCTTCTCGTCGACGACTCCGAGGTCAATCCCGAGGAGGATGATCCCGAGTCGAGCATGTCCGAGAGCGGGACCGACCTCACCGCGGCGACCACTTCCTCGAGATCGCCGACCGTCTGCGCCGACACCACCGACGTTGCACCTGTGTCGCTCAGCAGGCCGAGTTTGCCGCCCGCCAGGTGAGTCTCTTCCGTTTTTATCTGATGTGCATTTAGAGCGATTAAAATTATTTTATTTTAAGACCGATTACTCTGTTAAATTAGTTAGACTTGAATTATTTTATTGGGCTTGTCACAATTAATTTTATCACATTTAATTAAACTTAAGTAAACTGTGTCACTTCAATTACGATTTTAGACAGAAGCATAGATGAAATGTTTGCTTTTTATTTTTTATTTTAATATCATTAAGTCTAATTAATTGTGATAAATTAAGAAGACTTGAATTAAATATATTAAATAAATAATAATTATATATGATTAAATAATATTTGTTTAATAATCTTTTATTTTATTCTAATAAAAACTTGACAAATCAAATAAAGATGTATATAATGATAGAAAATAAAGAATAAAAATATAAAAAAAAATGTGTCTATGCTTCTGTCAATAATTTAGTTAAATCTAATTAAGTCCAATTAGTTGTAATAAAATTAATTAAGATAAGCCAAATAAAAAGAATGCAATAGGGAATTTTGAAAATAAAATACATAAACTTTTGTTTCTTATCTGTAAAATTGTAATAAATTAAAATTCTAAATAATATTAGCCTTTATTTAGTTCAAACGTCGTTTTGTGATACGATATATTAAAGTCCTCGTAATTAATGGTTATTTCGTTTGTCTTCTTGCAGATTGGAGGCAGCGGTATTAACGAAGACACTGACGCCCAACAGGCCCGGCAGATTCAGGTTTTTCTTTGGCAACGGATTGAAACTGAGATTCCGCATAGTGATAGCGATACTCATAGCTGTCCTGGCAATTCTCTACGTATCGGCGGTTCTAATGATGATGCGCATCGACAGGCTGCACACCGCTTACCTAAACCATCCTTTCGTCTCGCCAGAACGTTTCACGCAGGATCGACTATTGCATTACCTTAACACGAATCTGGATCAGATTGTGAAGGTAAGAAACTATTAATAAATATAATTTTCTAATTTTTATTCCAATAATTGTATTTTCTAATTTACATCTTTTAATGAATAAAAATATAAAAGTCACGTGAATCACTCTTATTACTCATATTTCTGCCAGATGTTCGAAGTTTATCTTATCGCGAGTCAAAGATAACTTGCAAAAAGAATCAACAACGAGGTTTTTGAGGACGGCATCTAATCGATCGATCTAAATGGCTATCCATGTCCGTCTGACATAAATTTTCACGTATGTTTCTAGGTGCGGCAGAGTCTGCAGACACTATCGCAGCAATTCGTGACGATGAGCCAGGGTGGTAGCGAGACAGGGCCGGCCGGTGGCGTGGTGGAACCGGAAGACGCACCGAGTTAGCCCACGACCGTGAGACTCGATATAATTCACCTAAAAAACGGCACGAGGCGCCGTCGTTCCGTCGTCTCGTAAACGACGACGTCCACGTCGTTTTCGTTTTGTCTTCGTTATCGCCGCGTTAATTATAGGCGACCGCGAGGACGATCCTCCACCGCGAGATTATCTCGCGCGATTGTCCTCCCCAAAACTAAACGTCGTTATTGTCGTTTCTAGTAAATATACCTAGACTTCCCGAGGGAGTTTAGCGAGGCAGCCGTCTCTCGTAAAACGAGAGGAGACCTCGGGGATCCAACCCCGAGCGCGAAACCGATTTCGAGGGCGAACCTTGTGTAAGAGCGACCCTCGCGGCGAGGCGAGGCGAATCCGAGGCGAGTTTGCAGATTGCGTAGGCTGCTTCGACTACAGATATACATGCGCGTGTCCACGCGTATGTACACCACGTATATACATAAATATACCTCAGAACACAGAAAGTGACGAGGATAGGGTAAATACGCGCGGCGAGTGAAGAGGAGTTTCCGCTCTTCTTCTTCTTCTTCTTCTTCTTTTTTTTTTCTTCTTTCTTTTAAACTAGTCACGTGTGTACCTAAGCCCCGGGGTACGGCAAAAGAAACAAAATAAACAAAACGGTATATGTATATATACATATATATATATACACACATGGTATATATGTATATATATAGTCACATACATACATATATGTATATGTATATGAAGTATATATATATACAGATATAGATTAACAACAGTGCATATATATTTCGCGATTACTTGTTCGTTACTTATGTAATTTTGAGCTAGTCGGGCACTACTCTATTTCACCGCTGCTATATAAATAAATAAATATATATATATATATATATAAATATATATAAATAATATTAAAAGAACATTATTATATAGCATCATAATTGGATAATCTTGATAATATAACGCGCGTGATATGCGCGTCGAGTGATGATACTCGATACAAAAAGTATCGATCGAGATAGTATAATAGAGGAGCTCGCTTTCCTTAACCGCTGTTAGCTCTTTCAGTACCTGCCTTAATCCTGCATTTAATTACGGTTAAAAAAAATTTGTAACAAATATATATTATATCCTCTCTCTTTCTCTCTCTCTCTCTCTCTCTCTCTCTCTCTCTCTCTCTCTCTTTTCTTGTCTATTTTAGAATCTCGGTGAAAGTAACTTTGGCTTTATCATTTTTTCTGCTTTCGCTCATCAAAGTTTCGGAAGCACCTTATTGATGGTGACATAGTTTGTTTCTATGTCAAGCAACAAAATTATATAAATTGTAAATATTGAAATAATTGGAGAAGAGATTAATGCATTTTCCTTAAGAGTTTGAAAATTACCAGTTGAATTTCTAAAAAGAAAAAAAAATATATATATATATTCTGGATTTCTCTATTATATTGTTAAATGAATCAGTTTTTAGAAACGTTTTCCTATTAACGAGAGAAATGTGACTTGCAGAATTATCTATATTGATAATTTTAATGTGACTTTTGATGTATGTTTATATATATAACATCTCGTTTAAGTAATTCTCGATGTCTTTGCAGACCGTAGCGTGTAAATTAAACTAATTTTTAATAAATTACAGATCGGAATGGGGTTTTTGATGAATTTAGATGAGAGAAGGGAAACACAAAACGAAGACTCTTGCCTAAATATTAGCATTTGCATATTTATATCCCACGATGTACGAGAATGAATGTTTACTTAACGACGGTCGAAGAACTAAGCATTGATAGATGGTTGGCTGGAAAATTGAATTGAATTAACAGGGAGATGTTGATGCCCTTATATCTAACTCGGTACTGAAAGGGTTAAATTGCGCAGTTTGAATGAATCTGGAGATGCGAGAGAATTCATGTTCTCTTGTGTGTGCGACTGTTCCTACTTATATGCTCTCGAATGTGTCTGGAAGTAACGATAGCGTATATTATACTTATATAGCGTATATTTATCTATATATATGTATATTATACCTATCTTCTTCTGGATTTGATCGCGTGAGTCGTCTGTGTCGAAAGTGGCTTCAAAATTCACTTTACATTTTAGGAATCTTGTCGAAATATTTATGATGTCATTGACCTATTGCAGGATCTCACGTAATTCATTTATGCTTGACCGATTTGTAGATACTCCGTTGCGCGTATAAAATTATTTAATTTATTTTTAATATTGTATATAATGTTTGAGAGAGCGAGAGAGAGAGAGAGAGAGGGAGAGAGAGTTGTTAATATAACATACGACGAACATTATCATGTATAATTAAATTTTTTTTAATTGTCTAATTATTTATTCGATCCTCTTAAACACTTGTACTAGGAAAATTGAGATATTATATTTGAACGATGCATATTTTTTTTTAAGAATCGAGAAGTCTGTGCTTTATAAATTATTATATTAATAAAAAGCTTTTCCCTTTTTCTCTTATGTGTTGCCGCACATGTATTGTTGTGTCGAGAAGCATTTCCGGGACATAAATGAATTAATGAATGAAGATCCTGCTTGTATTTTCGAGACAAACGACTCGTGCGCAAAGACGATGCTCGCGAAAATATTTCATTTGCTCGAACAAGTCCCGAAATCGTTGCACTTTCCGAGAACGGAATGAGAAAATGTTCGAAGAAAGGGAGAAGAGACGTCATTATATATGCGGAATTATAATATGGAAGAGAGAGTAGAAGTTTTTTGACTGTGATAATAGGATCGTGAATGCGTGCTCGTAGAAATACGGTCGCGCTTAACCAGCTTAACTCTTTACTTACGCGAAGAACAGAATGTTAGATATATATATATAAAATATATATACACACATATGTGTGTGTACAAAGAAAATGCGATCTGTGCGATTCTTCGAGAGAGATAAATGTATATGTATAAAGAGGATTATTTGTTGCTCTTTTTGTTTGGGAAGATAAGAAATTGCATTTGGATAAGCGCGACCGTTCTTTCTTCTGAGCTGAATATGGGATCTAAGAGAAGTGCTGTTACATTAATTAGCTATATTTATAAAAAGTGTAAAGAGAAAGAGAAAAGGCGAGTTTGGGGGAGAGAAAATTCTCTCGAACTCTCAAGTGTCTTCTACATTGGTACATTGTATTTCTTCAATTATATTAATGGGATATACAAGTGGTATTTCGGTATTAATTTAAGCTTCGATCTGTTATTGAACATTACCATTATTGTTACGTTTTTTATTTTATTGATCGACCACGTTGAATGTTTTATCGTAATAACTTGCGCAAGAAACGAGGTGACACGACACGATCTAATTGAAAACATTTTAATTTTTGTTCACGAAGACATAGAAACGGGGCAAGCAATATTCCTTTCCACGTGTCCAGATTGGAAATTATGTACGACTCGACATCGCGCGAGACGAATTTTACAACTAATGCGAGTTAGTCGTAAAGCAAGACGTGTCATTATTAATGACTCATTAAGAGTATATATTTCGTATGTACGAAGCAGACTTGTGAATCGCTTTGCCGGAAAAGCTTTAAACAAGAGATTTTACAAGCCCTACATTTGTTGCAACATCCTTCATATGATGAATACTTGGAATTTCCAATCTTTCGATCCATATCGCACATATATATTATATATTTGGATAATACGCGACGCAGTTTCGATTTGTTTTATCGAATAATAAGGTAAAACTGATTAGCCGTTTTACGAAAGAAATTAGCAAGCATCGATAACCAGAAAGAAAATCAACAGCGATATGCTCTGTGAACTTGAGATCGCAATCTTTAAAGTTTGAAATCATAAATTTAATTTCAAGAAATAAATATCTGTTGATTATTTTTAATTTATCAGAATTTTCCAGAATGTCAGATAAAATTGCCCCTGTAAGTATGCTAGATTATTAGGTACATAAAAATATATTCAGAATTTATTCACAATTAATAGCATCAAGAGAAGTTTGAACAAATAGATAGATTTATTTTTGACAAAATTAATTAATGAATAGAGCGTAATATTTGAAAAGAGCTTAATTTAAAAAAGTTGGAAACAAAATAAAACTTTTGTCACATTCTTATTATTTTTATCCATTTTTTTACGCGACAAAGAGTCGAGTTTACTGAAGCAATCTTGTGCCGAGAAATCATTAATGGCTATATCAGCTCTGAGAGAGATTCGGAAAGGAAATATTTGTGAGGATCGTAGCCAATAAACGCGAAGCGAGCCAAGTTCTGTGCCAAAAAGATTTGGTAGAAATTGAGTGAAAAAAATCCTTCATGAAGATGCGCTTGTCCCTGTTGATTGTCGTGCGCTCGTACAGCTTTTCCGCCACATTAGGGAATCGATGTTTAAAAAAACCTGCTACCTAGAGAAAAGTTGTGACGAATTATCTTGAGAATCGTTTTTTCACACAACGGAGCAGCGTTATTTGCGGGATATCGATCATCGATTTGCGAATATTTGAAAATTCAATTTTTCTCGATTCGTCGTAAGCCAAATAAACTTTTTCTTTATATACGATTTATATTTCTATACAATCTTTTTTATTTGATCCTATAATTGAAAATATTATTTGATTTATTCCAAATTATTTTTTGATTTATTTTTTAAAGATTTTTTCTTATTTACACAATTTTACCATTTTGTGACAAGTAATTGCAATTTAATGATCGATATTATATTATGAATCGCGGCGGCAAGAAGGGCATTTTTTTCTGTGCGAACAATGCAAATCTGTGGAAGCCGCAGTGAAATATAAGAGAGATGATGATGATGATGATTGAGAGAAAAATGCGAAAGATCGATGAATCTCCGAAATCCGGAAATTAGCCGAAGCGAATGTTGCGTTAGTTAATTGTATTGCGTAGTCGGTAGAACACCTATCCCTCGTTCTTGTTTATATATGACTGCTACTTGCCTTATCGTAATGTTTTTAGACATTTTAGATGGGTGCTCAACATGCAAGGTCCGTTTATTTAAGGATACAGAGGTGTGTACGCGCGGCGAGATTAATGTCGGACATGTGCGCTTCGTGTATCGTGGAACATTGTTAAAGGTCTCACCCGGTATATTTTTCATTTGCAAAGTAAGATAGCATATTTGTAATTTATAATGATCGCCTGCGATAACAGGCGGCTCAAAAATACGAGGAATTGTTCTATATCTAATATAATGTATCATTAATTACGTATTCAACATTTTTCATAAACGTAATAATTTTTTTATATATTTTGGAAAAAATATTTATATAAAATATTGATATATTAAATACAAATTCGTTTCCTTAAAATATTAAAAAATTAATATTAAGCTCAAGTTTTTGTACTACATATTTATTTTTGTTTTTAATATATCTATATATTTTATGTTAAGACATATATATGTGTTATATGTATATATTATTCTGAAAATATAAAAGATAGGAATATGGATATTTTTCAGAAAATAAAAGAAACGAGCAATTCCTCTTAACTCTCTTTAAAGGTGGCTAAACTAAAAGATTGGACTGTGTGGAAGGCCTTTAACGCGATACCCGAAGTGCGCAGATGGAATATTTGTTAAAGATGAAATTGCGCGGTCAAAGAGAGAAAGAGAGAGAGAGAGAGAGAGAAAAAGAAAAAAACAGAAAAAAGAAAGAGATTCGTGCCCGCAATTAAAAGTGGATCTCGCAATTGTGAGGACTCGCGTATGGCGAGAGGGAATCCAAAAAAAAACTACAGACCAATAATTTACTACATAATTTGTGTAGCTTGATACACAGAACGCAAATAAATTTGTGAAAACATTAAATCGTTCTACGTTCAAAGCAAGATTACCCGATCCAGAACAAGTTCCCGTTTCCTTCCACGCAGGCATTTCTCATCGTCAAACATCAACCACAACATCCACCACCCACGAGAGTCTGCGGTTCATCGAGATAATTACCGCTGCATTGTACTTCGATAAGATGTGGTCAACCAATTAAAGACTTCATCTCGAAGGAACAATGTTGCGACTTTTTTGCGCATTTTAGGATCGAAGAAACTCCAAGTAACAATTTCCCATTTAATTTTATCAAGAGTAATATATTTGTAATCTTCTATTTTTTTATATAGAGATTTGAGCAAAAACGTATAATGTTAAACGCTTTGCATACTATCAAATTCTTTTTTTTTTTTTTATAATTGCGATCGATATAGGATATATATATATATATATATATATATATATATATATATTATATATTATTTATATGGTAAAATAATTAATAAGTTATTAACTTTTACAATTAAAGTGTAATTACATACATCGCGATGCTAAATTAAGAAAAAGATTCCTAATGGATTTATCTTTCCTAATATTAGTTTTATTTATTCCTAATATTAGGAATACATTTTCTAATATTAGTTTCATATTGATAAAAAGGAGCGACTTTTTAATTATTAATTTTTTGTTTGCTCCCACACAGGTTTCGGATTCATATCGACTCACTCACTTGGAGATCTGAAAGCTATTACTAAAGGCAATTATTGTAGTGGGGATTCTGCGGTTTGCTCCATAGGAAGTTCATATAAAAGGCAGCATGCGTTTGCGAACGTCAGTTTGCGGTGTAAACTGTAAATCGATTGTTGATTGTGAGTGTTCCATCAGTGATATTTATTCTATCATTGATTTTTGAACCGTACTCAGGTTTGTTTAAATTTCATTTTAAATTAAATGTTCACATTCCTCACTAATAATGATCTTAAAATACTTATAAAATTTATTAATTATATTTTATCATAGTGTGTATTTATCAATTTATTATTTTCGAAATTTTCGAAAAAATTGTTTATATATATATTTATACATATAATTTTATATTTTCAATTATTGAAAAATTACATAAAGTAGGTATATCATTTTTTGTTAATATATGTTTCGAATTAATTTGCCTTTGTAAAAATGTTTATTTTGTTAAAATTATCTAAATCTCGATTTTTATACATTGCTTAAAAAATGTATAAGTGTGAAATTAGAAAATTTTAATTTTTAATTAATATACTTATTTCTGTTTATCACTTGCATTTATATTTTGTATTTTAAATCTGCGATTTATCTCTTCAATTCTGCCTTGATTTACAGCATTTATTATTTGTGATGTTTTTAATAATCAAAGTAAGATCCGCTTATAAGAAGAGTCAAGACCTGTTAAGTCGATTACGATATCACAGAGTACACAATTCGCATTCAAAACAAAACGCGCATTTCTTACGTAACATAAGTTATTCAAATGAGGGGGATTATCTCGAAGAAGACCGGTTTCGTGTCTATTAATACAACCGAGAGATATAATAATATACATATCTAATATAATGTACAGCGGAATTCGAATTAATTAGCCAAATGATTAGGAATGTGCGTGAGATATGTAAATTATCGCATCGTAATGTGGAATCCCGCGGAGAAATCGTATGAATCAGCGAGAGATCGAGGTCGAACCCTTTTACGGGACGTGATCGTGCAGGAATTTTTTTCCAAACCTTTACGCAATGTGTCCCGAGTGAATCAAAGACGGATCAGACCGAACTACTCATGCGAGATCTGAGAAACGGGTCTTGGTGCTCAGACAACCTTGCTGTAGTAATGAGGTTGCACAATTATTTATCGTTCGATACGCATCGAGTCATGCTTTATTTCCATATGAAATATATCTCCTTGATATAATTATTAATTTTAAAAGCATATGATATTAATTTTATTTTATTATTAATTTTTTTAATTTATTTTTTATTTAATTATTTATTTTTATTTAATTTTTTATTTAATTATTATATAATTTTATAAAAAGCATATAAATTTATCTCCTTGATATAATAATTAATTTTAAAGAAAGCCTTCTTTAGTTGTATTTAAAGAAAGCGTTTCCTTTCATGATTATTTATTTTATTTATGTGCAATGGATATGCTATGAAAAATTTCGGATTAATTATAATTAAAAAGAGGCAATATTTGACATTTCTGAATTTCAACAAAAATTCTAAAAAAAAAAGAAATGTTACATATATCATCATAATTTTTATATATATCATATAATTTATAAAATGTATCCTAGTCTCTCCAGATGTCATTCGACGAGGAGCCGCTTGTGGTGGAGACAGTGTATTTATACGAGAAGGAAAATGCCGAAGCCCATCGCACCTTCAACTTCGAGATGGTTCACCAGGACCCAGCGACTCCCGTCCTCCGACGTGGACAGCCTTTTAATCTGGCCCTGAGATTCAACCGCGAATACGTAGACGAGACCGACATCGTCCGGCTGCTCTTCAGCTTCGGTCCAAATCCGAATGTGCTGAGAGGTACCAGAGGAGTGAACACGGTGACCAACAACGAGGCCTACCTGACTGATCTGGAGGCTTGGGGTGTGCGATTGATCGGTTCTCACGGGGAGGATCTCTCCGTCGAGGTCAGGAGCCCGATCGACAGTCCTGTCGGAGTGTGGCAATTGAACGTGGAAACCAACACCCTTGGCAGGAAGAAGGCGCCGAATACTTACAGCTACGACAAGGATATTTACCTGTTGTTTAATCCGTGGATGAAAGGTAATTAAAACCGCCATCGAGGTCTACAGGAGAAATGGCTCATCAATATTTTTTCTTATAATTTATTAATTAATTATTTTCTTATAATTTATTAATTAATAATAAGTAAAAGAAATCCTATCTGAATGGAAGATAAAGGAGATATGAGAGAACAAACAGTTAATAATAATTACGCGGTTATTAGTATTAAAAATGAATTACATTTATATTGTCATAATATTTTGGTCCACAGAATTTTGATTGGAAATTTGACGATTTATTTTTTAATTAATGATCAATATAGAGGATCTGGTATTTATGGAGGACGAGCAATTGCTCGACGAGTACATTCTTAATGACGTCGGGAAGATCTGGGTAGGTCCATGGGGTAGTTCTCGTGGCAGAGAATGGGTCTTTGGACAATTCGACGCGTGTGTCTTACCAGCTTGCCAGCTGTTGCTCGAGAGATCCGGTATCAAAGCGATTTCCAGAGGCGACCCGGTCAAGATGACCCGAGCAATCTCGAGAATCGTAAAACATGCTCTTTTTTATATATAATCTAACTTTAAATTTTATTTGAAAGTTTATATTTTTACCATATATTCTTCAAAATTCAATAAATTATTGTTCTCTTAACTGATTAAATTTTTTGCATATCAAACACTTATTTATGTATTTTTCTTATTTTTATTGAAAGTAAGTATTTAATTACTTTTTTAATATTAATTAATTATATATAATTATATTTAATATTAATTATATTGTAATCTTAATTATTAAAAAAAATTATATTGCATCATATATATATATATATATATATACAATTGATGTAATTAATAAATTGTCTTCTTTCCATCGCTTTAGGTGAACTCCAACGATGATAAGGGCGTGATAACCGGTCGCTGGGACGGCCAGTACGAGGACGGTACCGCGCCGGCTGGCTGGACCGGAAGTGTGCCTATCCTGGAGCAATTCTGGGAGACCGGCAACGAGGTCAAGTACGGTCAATGTTGGGTCTTCGCTGGGGTCGTGACCACGGTGTGTCGCGCCCTGGGAATCCCATCGCGAGTGGTGTCCAACTTGGTGTCGGCTCACGATGCCAATGCCTCATTGTCGGTGGACCGTTATTACGATCTGAACAACGAGGAACTCGAGTACGACCCCAACAACCCGATGGGCGAGGACTCCATCTGGAACTACCACGTATGGAACGACGTGTGGATGGCGAGGCCGGACCTGCCCAAGGGCTACGGAGGCTGGCAGGCCATCGACGCCACTCCGCAGGAACAGTCGGAGAACTTTTATCAGTGTGGACCGGCATCGGTGGAGGCTATTAGACAGGGTGCCGTTGGTTACAACTACGACGTGACCTTTATGGTGGCGTCCGTCAACGCGGATCTGATGAGATGGAAGGAGGATCCGGAGAGCGATCTGGGGTATTCCAAGATCGATTGCAATAAGTATCAGTAAGTATGCATGCAGTAGTAGTGTTTTTTTTATTTTTTATATTTAAAATTTATTTTCATATTTTTAATATTGAGTCGCTTTGGAATGACACATCTTGCAAGAATAAAAATAATTATTAATAGTATTTTAAAATTTAGTAAATCAAGCTTAAAATTTAAGTTCAAATTAACTTATGGATTTTATGTTATTGAATTTATCATCTATATTTTATACCATATACTTAGAAATTAAATTTTATAACGAATATATATAAAATTAAATTTTATGACGAAAAATAAAATATTATTTAATTAATGTTTCCCGAAAGCAATCGTTGGCAGATTATAAAATCTATACGTGGAATAATTAACATATTCTTTGAGTGCGTTTCAAAGAACACCTTTTTATGTTCTGATATTCTTTCGCGATGATTTCATTCATCGATAATGCACTCACTGATCATTCACAATAACATGGACAAATTCGTTTCGTGTACAGACGGAAATAACTATGACAGTCCGATACGTGAAATATATAAAATGACGAGTCAAACGAAGAAGAAAGAGACGAATGTATCAGGAAATAAAATGAAAACGTAAGCTTTTTGCGTTGCCTTAGTCGATCCTGCAATTCGCAATTACAACGCGTCCTTCGACGTGTGATAAATTACTGTTTATTCGCGATTTGCATAATTTTCACGATATGCTGAAGCATTTCCATGCCGCCGAACGTAGTTAATGCAAAGCACAAGTAATAAATGCAAGTTAAATAAATGAGAAACTCGATTGTCGGCTCGTTCAAATTACAAACATCGCGTTTGTGTATAATGATAATGACTTATCAATCAACGCCTACGATGTGTTTCTCGCGTGTATCTCATCTCTCGTAAAAGTTTTCAATAAGAAGTACATCTTATATTTCAGCAGAAGAAATATATGTTTGCATAATTTATTATATAAGAAATATATGTCTACAATATTATATAATAATTCATAATATTAATATCAGTGAATTATATAATAATTCATAATATTAATTATTATATAATAATTCATAATATTAATATAATAATTTATAATATATAATATTTTATAATAATTCATAATATTAATATTAGTGATATAGTGATTAGATATTATATAATAATTCATAATATTAATATTAGTGAATTATTCAATTTATTTCTATTTCTCATCTTTTTTTTCTCAAAGTAACAGCTGATCTTGACAGATAATTAAATTGTAACAAATAAATAATAATATAATTCTAATTCTGATTAATAATAAGAATAATTAATTAATAATACAATTTCGTCACTTCACGTTAATTGCGTTTCATAAATACTAAAATATGAAATATTTTTACAGCATCGGCCGAATGATTTTGACAAAGGCCCCATGGATCTTCGATCCCAACGGAGACAAGGATAGACAGGATATAACATTGCTCTACAAGGCCAAGGAAGGTAAACGATGGCAAACAAATTTACTTTTCGCATCTTATTCAGCATCTGACACATATTATTCCAAGACTTGCTGATTAAAGGAATAAGGATAAGTCTCGCGTAGCTTGTTGCAATTTTACTAAAGAACACTCTGTTTCAAAAATTTCGTCTTATTCCTGGATTATACACGGAGAGAATTTTCTCTTAGAATTTACCCTAAAAATCATGATAATCATGGACAATATGGAAGAATTTCTTTGATTAATATTTATTACAATAAAAAATATTAATATGTACATAGTAAATTTTAGTATATATACATAGTAAATTTTATTATGTATATAGCAAAATTCATCGAACATATTTTATATTTTATTGTGGTAGATATTACTATTTTTATTATGGTAAATATTGATCAGAGAAATTCTTATAAAATTCTTCCAATACCATATTGTCCATGATTACCATGATTTTCATGGTAAATTCTAAGAGAAAATTCTTTCTGTGTATATATATGATATTGTCTGATTAATATTTATCACAATAAAAAATATTAATATATACATAGTAAATTTTACTATCTATATAGCAAAATTCATCAAACATATTGTATATTTTATTGCGGTAGATATTACTATTTTTAATAAATATTAATCAGAGAGAAATTCTTATAAAATTCTTCCAATACCATATTGTCCATGATTAGCACAATTTTCAGGGTAAATTCTAAGAGAAAATTCTCTGCGTGTAATTGTTAAATAGCCAACTCTTTTTATTCTTTTTAATCTACTTTTTAGGTACCGAGGTCGAGAGACTGACCTTGTACAGGGCGGTGCGCAGCACCGAGGTGGCGAAGAGGTTCTACTCGCTGCCTTCTCCAGGAAAAGAGGACGTGGAGTTCGATCTCCTTGAGCTCGAACGTGTCAACATCGGCGAACCATTCGCTGTAATAGTGAACATCAAGAATAAATCCGACGAAATACGCACTATTCAGGCTATCCTGTCCGCAGGCAGTGTTTATTACACCGGAATTAAAGCGAATCTGGTGAAGAGAGCATCTGGCGACTTCGAGCTTCAGCCGAACGCCGGTGAGATATTTTTCTTTTCTTTAGATGATAGCAGCGAAAGGCAACAAACGAAGCTACTCGAAGATTGCGTCAACGTTAGAGATAGAACAAAATGTTGATTTATCGAGGTCGATAATTCTTGAATTATAAATAAAATCGAAGCTGAAGGATTACGACGAGTTAAGCAAGACTGCAATTGAATAAATAATATTTGTTAAGTTATTCTTTGATTGATGGCAAAGACAATTAAGGTTGAATTTTAAGGGAGCGAGGTACCTATGAATGTATTTAGAATAGATGAAATCGATCAATTATGGAATATAAGACATTAAATTATTTCATAGCTGAAGAACGCTAATGTCTCTTCGCATTATCGAGAAAAAATGATTGATGAGCTTGACTAATTTTGTCGTTAGAATTCCTGGATAATGAAGATTCATTAGACGTTCAATCAGTGGATAAGGAAAGAAATGTGAAGATTTACACGGTAGCTACGTTGTTGCAAAGCCTCGCTGCGATAATTAGCTCGATCAAACTGCGCGTTGCAATTAATGTTAGAGTTCTGTAATCATTCTTACGTTTAAATTCATTACAGTCGAACAACTGAGACTCTCGGTGACGGTGAACGATTACTTAGACAAGCTGGTGGAATATTGCATCATGAAGCTATACTGTATTGCCACGGTCAAGGAAACGCGACAAACCTGGGCGGACGAGGACGATTTTCAGGTCTTAAAACCGAATATCGATGTCAAGGTAAGATAATAAAAAATGCAATTTCTTTAAAATAGTCATCAATTAAATAAGATATTATTACATATTATTAAATTTATTAATTATCTGTAAATATATTCAACTTGATTTGCATTTCTATATAATTCCAGATAGTTTTTTTTACTTTTCATAAAGCAGGTTTTTAAAAAGATTTTCTAAAAATTCTACCTTTGGATGTGTATATTTTTAATCTGGAGGATGCGGGGCATATATTTAAATTTAATATCACTATTATTTTTATAAATATTATCGCATTCATTTTATCGTTTTACATATTCATAAATATCGTTGAAAAGAATTTCACAAAGTATTTAAAAACTTTTCACTTACAAATTGCTTCTGGAATATCACAGATCGAAGGTGAACCAGTTGTGGGAGAACCATCGACCATCACGCTGAGCTTCAAGAATCCCTTGAAGAGGAGTCTGACCAACTGTCAATTCAATTATGCCGGACCCGGTCTCTCAAGGAACAAGACCCTGGCCTTCAGAGACGTCGACCCTGAAGAGGATGTTTACGTGGAACATCAGCTCGTGCCGCAAAAATCTGGAGAGCAGAAGATCATCGCCACTTTCACCTCTAAGGAATTGGTCGACATCATCGGTTGCGCAACTGTTGACGTCCTTGAGGCTGAATGAATGGTGATCAATCAACTCTGACCTTAATTCAAAGCAAGTGCCATGCTTATTATTAAGTGCGTATTTTATCAAATCGCGATAACGCGTAGATATTTTTGACTCCATCTAGATATTATGTTATTTTTTACCAAATCTATCTTGTGTAATTCGCATGGATCAATTTCGAATATTACTGTAATATTAATCATTAATTGATATATCAATAATAGATTAATGATAAGCGTCGATGAAAATATTATGTAATGGAAAAGCCAATGAAAAATTAGTATTTCAAAAGTAAGAAGCATAAAATATATAGTAGCATTCCGAAATAAATAAAACAATTTCCTATATGCAGATATATACATATATATTAATATACTGTTTTTATTACATAAGTATTTTTCCAGAATATTTTTTCTATAATTTATAAAAGAAATTTTTCTACATTTATAAGTTTATATTTTTGTAAAATGATAAAACGCCCAATAAAACGAATATAAGAAATATATAGGTACTAATTGTAAGATATGTATCAAATACAAAAAAATAATAATTTATTGAAACTAAAGGAGAACGTAATATATGCGAACTAATATTAATAAAATCAATATTATATTATATTGCAGCTGCAGGGAAACTATGAAATATGAAAATAACGTAAATTATACACAGAAAGATTACGTCGCAGGCTTGCATTGAAACGAAAATTGCAAATACCAAAATACTACGGAAAACAAAATGCAATAAATGAAAGGCAGCAAATTCTCATACGAAATAGCTGAAGTGTTTTCATTTGTTGTGGGAAGCGCCAAAGTTTTAATCGCTCCTGTCGCTTCGAAATCTTCTTCATCCTTCGAATGTAACAAATCGAGCGCGTACTCTTCTTCCGAGCGATGCATCAGAAGTTGCACGAACGACTTTACTTCCTCAAGATCGACTTCGCTCGACTTAACTATTGCTTTCTCACGTGGAAGAGCATCGTCTTCTATATCATTCAAGAGTTTATGATAATCTAATGACATTTTTTCTAGCTCGGATTCGCACATTCGGATGGAGTTGCTGCTCTTCGAAGAACATGTTGAAAACATGTCGACGTCTTCGTTGGCTATATCCAAGGGATAATACTTCTCGTCGCATTCGGATCTCTCGACGATTTCATGATCTTCAGCTTCAGCTTCTCTTGGTGCTAAGTTTTCGAAGTATATAATCATGGCTTTACGAAGATTGCGTGCTCGCTCTGCTGCAAGTTCGAGAGCCGCGATCACGTCACTCGGTATATTTTCCTTCAATTCTGCCGGGATTCTGTACTGAGCGTCGTTTTCAAGATATTCTGCGAGTTCCTCGGAAGAACAAGAAGCATCGCAGATCATCGAGGATGATGGTCGATGAGATTTTTCTGACAATGACGAGTTATCTTCCAAATCATTGAAATACTTTGTAGATTCTTGATGTGTGTCAATATCAATATTTGTTTTATTATCAGTATTTATAAGCGATTTTGAAAAAGTTTGAGAATTCTCGTTCATTATTTTTTTTTCAAGTATGATAAAATCATTTGTCGTGTTTGATATAGTTTCCATTACGTCATAATCTTCTAATTCTAAAGTTCCTGTACTCAAAGTCTCTTTGCATTCGCTGACTATACGTTTCTTGCTCTTATCGAAATATTCATCTTCAGTGCTGCTTTCAGGATGCTTAATAAATTCTATATGGACTGGAATACCTTCTAATGTCGGCGTTTTATTTTCAATCGTTGAATTTGCTTTCGAGTTTGTCAGGTTTATCAGGTCACAGGATACTTCTGCATTTTTACAAATGGCATCGTAATGCATCGTATTGCATCCGATTTCAACCACATTGCTGCTATTTGATGACGACTGCGTTTGAGTAAGCTTTAAAACTTTCTTCGAATCGCTTTCTTCTGTTTGCGTGCTGATCGATTTGCAAGAAGACTGATGATCGAAAGACTGGTTCGGCTCATCAAAATTTTTATCTTTGGTAAAATTTACTTCGTCGTTCTGCGACATTTCCGCAAAAATTGGTAGCGCTTGAAGCTCGCTGCCATCTTCTTTATTATTAAAAATATTAGATTCCTGGTCAATTACATTCACGGCATTCTCTTCCACGTCTTCGTTTCCTTTTACGCCATTGATGATTTCTTTCAACGCGTGGATTACTTCGGAAGGTCTCGATCTTCTTTTGCAAATCACGGTGGACTCGATATTAAATTGCTCATTCCAATTCTGCGAAGATTCTGTCGATGTTTGCCGATTACGCGAGTTTGATTTCGATCTCGATCTTGATCTTGTCGGTTTCGCATTGTTGCGCTTATTCGAAGTCCTTGAACCAACTTTGGTGGTCGAGCGTCTTCTCTTCGGTATTGCACCTCCGTTTTGCAATCTTTGTCGTTGTTTCGCTTCTCTGTCATACAAAATTGTAATGTAAATATTATTTTAATACGCGAAAATATATATAGATAATAAATTTTATTCTTACGCGAGATGTCCGCAAATTTTCGTCACACGATTTGCGCAAGGATCTCGGTTTTCCTTCATCGGTATCTTAGACTGATTCACGGATATCATGTTTGTAGATTCATTAGTGAGCGTCCTAAAATTAATAATATAATACATTAAACAAAATCTTTCAATATACATATTCAATGCACTGTTTTTAATAATTATCGTTTTATATATAACTATTATTTATATAACAGACACAATCTTTTATATAAAAATTATAAATAAAAAATAAATAAATAAGTTAAAAAAATGTATTACTCGACATGTTCACTCGAAAATTTGTTCTCCGTGGAAGCGATGGCTCTGTCAATAGATCGAGACGATTTTTGCGACATCGGTTGCGTTAAAGACATCGTGCTCCTCGTAATCGAGGATCTAGTGACTCCGGGTGGTCTCCAAACTCGTTGATTGATAAACACGAGACTCTTCTGAAAAGCGCCTCTTTTTCGGGCAGGTGCAGCGCAGTTTACAATTAATCTGTCATCATTATCCTGCGAATTATGGACAGGTCTTGTTTCAGATTTCCTGATCGGCCAAGTTTTCCGATTTCTACGATGAATCGCATATTGATCGTCCACATTTTGTCGATGGCTTTGAGCCTCGTTCGAGAAATCCTCCTTTTCTTCTTCAGGTTCCCTCGATTTTGATCCAGAATGAAGGCCTTCGCCTTCGCGATTCTCCGAATTCGTAACTTCTTTTTCCTCATCATTCAACTCCTCAACTTTGGCTGGTTCGTCGTGAAAACCCACCGATTTAGCCGGACTTGCCGCGCATTTTTTCAGATCTAGGGAGATATCCTTGATCAACTGGTTTGGGAGAAAACCCAGGGGATTCCCCGGGTATTCACAGACCGCTGTCGTCGACTCGAGGGGTCTATCCTGACGAGAAGACGCATCAAGAACCTTCTTCTCCCATTTAAGGATCGTCATTAGAGCCTGCATGCTCTTGCTTTGCTTCGTGATGCTGCGTCTCTTGTAAATCCTGCTCACTTTGCTGGAGATGACAGCTTGCGATTTTTTCGATGCCTTCGCGTTCCTCGAAGACGACTTCTTCATCGGTGTCCGTGTCTTCATCAAAGACGACAGCGTGTGGCTGGCGAATCGCGGTCGGAGACATGTTTCGCTCGAGATTGTCCCGAGTTTCGTTTTTGATGCCTTGTTTTTTATGGAATCCATGGATCCCTCTTTTTCCCATCAAGTTTCATCGCTTTCTCGATCGTCGACATTCTTCCGTCTGGTTGGCAGAAAAAGATGAAGAACGTCAAAGGGATGGTCGAAGTTTCAAGTTCGTCTCTCTTCCTTAGCCGCAATTTTTTTACACTTTCTGTATATAAAATAAAACAATATAATAGATCCCGGTTCTGTTATGAAAATTCTAACAAAGCACATGTTTTTGCAATTTCTCTCTCTCTCTCTCTTCCGTTATTTTATATATGTTCCTGATTTTATTTTAATAAATGCAATTAAAAAATAGATTTAGTAACATTATTCTGACACTTAGAGTGATATTGTTACTGATATCTGAAATTAATTAAAAATTTTATTATAGTAGTAAATAATGTCAAATTGTTGTTACATCTAAAATATTTCCACAAATGCATCTTGTCATTTGGGAAGAAAGAAAGAGAGAAAAGATATACAGAAGATAATAATCGAGAAGTTTGTATGTTTATATACCTATAAATTCACTGAAGTTGTGACAGTAAGAATTTGCGGTACAAGAAAAGGCTAATTACGAAAAACGAAACTGCTTCAACTCATGTTTACGTTCACGATACGACGTGTTCACGTATATAATTCTGTAATTTGGCAGTAACACAGAAACGAACCCAAAGAACGCTAATTCCAGACTGACTTTCATATGTCTTGTCGCATGTTCGAGACGCTCCATATGCTTTGTCCTTTATCGAGATCAACCAATTAGCGAAGGCCAAGATAAAGCGATATCTAGAGTCGACTTTGCCATGCAAAATACAAATATCCAAAATATATTACATAAATTGTTTATAATTATTATAAATTAATAATTAAAATAATGAGAATTGCTGTTAAATATGACATTCATAAACTTATGAAAAAATATTAGATGCCACATGTAAGCAAATATCTTAAAATAGATTTTGTGCTACATATATGCTATGAAAAAATCCGAAAAATAGTTTTTCTTTTAATTCTGCATAATTGAATATTAAAGGAAGTTTATGAAATAAATGTGAGGGAAAATTACAAGTAGTTTAGATTTTTTATTGATTTGTAAATAAGTTCAATCCAATCACTGTTGTGTAGGTGCCGACTGACTCGAAGACTTGGAATCGCGCATAGAGGCGCTACGCCTTCGCTTGAGTTCTTCCTGGCGTCTGTTCTTCGCCTCCTTCTGCCTCTGCGCCAGCAGTTTCGCGTACTCGGCCGCCTGTTCCTTGCGGGCCAAGCAACGTTTCTTCTTAAGAGCCAATCTATGTCTCTTCCTCTGTAAATACATATAAATTTGTAAAACACTTTTTCAATAACACTTTATTAACTTGACAACTAATTGTTTTCATTTTAATCTAAATATTTCTCCGAGGTTTATCGAATGTGTATTTCTGTAATTCTTTTAAAGGATAAATTATATACCTGAAGGACGATTGGAGTGATCAAACGCTGGATCTTCGGTGCCTTAAATCGCTCCTTCTTTCCTTCTTTTTGTACCGGTCGTTTCACTACAAACTGTCGCACATCATCCTTTTTCGAAAGATTAAAGAGTTTGCGAATTTTGCTCGCTCTCTTTGGTCCCAGACGACGCGGTACGTTCATGTCCGTCAGTCCTGGGATTTCCTGTTGAATAAATAATTAATAAGTTTTAATAATAATAGATATTACATTATATTCTAAATTTTAATTCTAATTTTTAATTTAAATTGAGGACTGAGCATTTTTTAAAATTCAGAGTTTAGAATTATATAATATAAATTTTATGCTCTGTAATATTTGATCTAAATAGATTGAAAAATGTCTCGTTCGTACACTGAGAAAAAGCATAAAAAAATGCAGCAATTTCCCAAATCATAAAACGAATTTTATCTTCCATGCGTACGATAGTATTTCAAGAAAATTGAATATTATCTTAAATACACCCTGAACAGCATGGGTCTCTAATGCTTAATAAAAATTAAGAAAATTATATTGCTAATAATTTACCTGCTTTCCCTTCCTTACGATGACGAGGGCTAATACAGATAAATTGGAATCTACAATGCAACCACGAACAGATTTGCGCTTACGCTCACCATCACGTCTAGGTCTGTAGCAAGAATGTCCCTTCGATAGCAATAAACGTACACGGCCTATAAATAAATAAATACATCATATTAATTAAAATATAAATAAAATTAATACAGTCTCAAAAGAATTATAAATATGACATAAAGCCTTTTTTTTTTATAAAGGGAATAAATTGAATGTAAACTGAGAGTTTAGTTTATCGTCTTAAAGGATAATTTTGATACACATATATGTAAAATATAAATGTATCACGTAAACCCACCGTTTGTCAGGACACCCTGCTTCATGGGGAAGCCTTGCTTGTCGTTACCACCGGAAACGCGAACTACATAGCCCTTCCATTCGTCTCCCAGTGCATCGGCTTCAACCTCAGCTCCCATGCGTTTCTCGTAGAAAATTCTGAGCTTGTGCTCGTCCGAGATTTCGAACAGCTTCTGACATCCTGTCGCGGGATACGATACGTTCAGCTGTAACGATCGAACGCACGAGTTAGAAAGGATGTACACAATATACAATTTTTCGAGTTTGAGGTTGGGTCAAGAAATTCTTGTACAATAAATATTACATCAACAAAACAAAAACTAGCATATTAATTTTGTAAGTTACAAGTTACAGACTGACACAAAAAACAGATATATTGTAATCACGACCTAATTTAAAGTGAAACAATGCACGTTTTATTTGACATCGACACGGGTAGCTATTTGCAATCAGCACTACGTGTAATATGGATATTGTAACTAATATATAAACATTGTTGCATTCACAATACTTTTGCGCATCGGAAAGAATACAGATTTTACGCGATGGACGCGGGATTCCTGAAATATTCGCGGATTCTCACCTTCATCGTGACGAAGTTTAAACGGTGCCACGAGCCATGAACGAGAAAGGACCTAAAACCAGCTTCACGCGAACGTCTCGCTTGGAAATCCACTGCTGCCAACTTGCTTGCTTCTAGGGACGTACGGAGACGGATTTCGAGCAATTTGGACAAAAAGTTTCTCCACTCTGATTGGTCGTCTGAAAGCATCTCTAGTACTGTCCTGGGGATCAATTGTGTAATTTTTTCTAAAGTGGAAACGAAAAAAATAACGTTAAAAAAAAAAAAAAATTAAATAAAAATTTAATTTTGTTTTTTTATTTTTATTTTTAATTAAATAAAAATAAAAATTTCCGCCAATCGCATATCGATTTTATTTTAAAATCAATGCGTGATTAGTGGAAATTTTTTACTTTTCACGTTTTCACTTTAGAAAAAGTTACAGAATCGATACCCAGATTGTAGTCTTGAATGAATATTTTGTTCCCTATCTATATAATTGTTTATAGTCAGTGTTTGTAAGATACCAATTAGATTCGAAGTTGATTTATTCCGAATACAACTTTTGTGAATGAAAGTGGCCTGTTACATTTTGTGCAACGGTGATATAATTGAATTGAATTTGGAAAATACTCTCACTATGTAGTACTTGGAAGAAAATTATTACAAGTGAAGGGAAACATAATCCGACTATTAATTGTGTATCCGAGCTGATTGTATATGTTCTATAATAATTTTAATAAGGATTTTGCATAAGTTTTTCATGTGCGATTTCGCCGAAAGGTATTCTAAAAATTTCGTAGGTTATTCATTCTTTTTAAATGTTAATTTAAAATCCGAGCTAATCGATTTAAATATGATTTTTATTTTTATGTAAAAAGAATCATTCGGTAACAAATTTTTGGATCGAAAAAGACTACGTTTGCAAAATCCATTCTCGGAATTATAATTAATTAATTAATTGAAAAAGAGGCTGTATTCACTCTATATAATTTTTCCAGCGCATTATTAGATCCATATTATTGCATTACGTAAGTATTCTCAATCTTTTAATTTCACATTTTCTCTCATTGTCACAGCAGCGTTAATCGATAAAAGAATTAGTATATAGTGAGTCAAAGGCAGAGGAGAAAGCAGGAGACTATTTTTGTATGACTCATGATAAAATAATTCCAATTAACAAAATAACTCGTCCGATAAGAAATCGTTAGGAGGAATTAATTAAATTCAATTTTATTTCAATATAATTATTTTATTTTAATATAATTTATATTTTCACATTTCGTGGCGAACGATATATTTATTACATTTGCGCTGATCGATCAGGATCATCGGATCATCACCGGCATCTCATCTCGGACGATTTCGCCGGCGCGGCGCGAAGTTTGCTACGTTTTATCTCGCGCGCGTGACGTAAGAAGACGACGGAACTGTCACTATCGCGTCGCGAAGAGGCGGAGGCGAGGAAAGAGAGAAAAGAGGAAAGGAAGGAGAGAGAAGACGACGTATATCGGGAAATCGGGAGACGGAATAACGTTGCGCTTCCGAAAAGGTGTCACGTGTGTATGTGTGTGTGCGTGTACATGCGCACGTGTATATAATATATATATATATATATAACTGTGTGCATGTGTATGCGCGTGAAACACTCCGGTGAACGATAGAGGGATCGCGCCGGAGGATTTTCGTTATGTATCGATTTACTACGTAAATACACTCTTCTCTCTCGCAGAACGACAAATGGAGCACACGGAATGAGGAGTCTGCGGCATCGATTGCGAGGCAGGTAATGTCCTTTTTTTCTCTCCTTTTTTTTTCTCATTTTCTCTCCTCGGTTTTTCTCACCTTTCTTCTTTTCTCGCCGCCGTGCGGACACTTTTCCGTTGTCCCTTGCGTTGTACAGGTTAGAGGGCATCCCGTTACCGGGAACAAGGACGTAGACGTCGGCGACGATGACGACGTTGCACGTTCATTCGGAGAAATGATGTAATGTGACATTCGTCGTAATTTTCTCGACCTCGTGTATTTAATCCGCTGCATTTCTTGTGCGACGTGTCCTCCCTGTCGATGTAAAATTTTGTCAGTCAATCTTGTGAACCACATGTTTCTTTTTTATTTTTGATTATTTAGAATATTGTTCGGATATTGCATTAGGGACCTTTGCTTTTTGATCGAAAAAGATAATACAGGACGTTGCAATTATGTAATATTATAATGATGCTGCTATATGATCAGACAATTGTGACAAGAGTGGGATATTAATAGAATAAAGATTGTATTATTTATTATACATTGTTGAGGATGATAGATCTGTTGACACGTGTGATTGTTTAGTAAGAAGACATGGATGCCGCAGTTATAGAAGTTTTACGAAGGGCGGTCAGCCAAGACCCTGATGTCCTAAAATCTGCAGAACAGACGTTGAAGCAATGGGAGACTCAGCAAGGATTTTATATAGCGTTATATGTGAGTTATTTTGTAAAGAAATATAAGAATTTGTATTAGAAGTCTATAATAATGTTTTCCATGCACGTAACAACTTTATAGAACATTACATGGGACAACAGTGATATATTTATATATTAGATTACCTTTATTTAAAATTGCCTTACAATATTTTTTATTTCTTGGCATTATACATATTTATGTATATGAAATGTATGAGTCAGCACAAGAATTGTTTTTAGAATGTTCTTTCAAATCATTCCTTGGCTGTTGAAGTCAGATGGATGGCTACTGTGTATCTAAAAATTGGAGTCGAAAGATACTGGAGGAAAAATGCACCAAAGTAATAGATACTTTGTGTTAAATAAGGAAGCATCATATGCTCGAATATTATTATCGATATACATGTATCTAATAATACCATTATTCCAGCTCAATTGGGGATAATGAGAAGGAATTTTTACGACAGCATCTGCTAAGAAATTTTGAAGAACCTGTAAATCCATTAGCCATACAATTAGCAGTTCTTATTTCTAAGATAGCAAGGTATAAAATATTCCCCATGTGATACAATATAAGGTAATGAATTTATTAGCGTGCTAATTATTTCATTTCGCATGTAGGTATGATTGTCCTAGAGAATGGAGCACATTAGTACCAACATTGTTGGAAATTATAAGGCGAGAAAACTCTCTGGCACAACGTCAAGCGTTGTTAACGCTGCATTATGTTGTTAAGGCTTTGGCGTCTAAACGTTTGGCCGAAGGTCAGAGGCTCTTCCGAGAATTGACTGCGACTATGTTCAATTTTATTTTAAACTTATGGAATACCTACACCGAATCCTTTCTGATTATGGCGTCAAACGGGGCCGACGTCAATCAGATACAAGAAGCCTTAGAAAAGGCACTCCTACTATTAAGAATACTTAGGCAGCTGATTGTAAATGGATTTTCAAATTTATCTGAGTCTCAAGATGCCATGTTATTTTTAAAAGTCGTTTTCGAGCGTGCAAGGACCTGTCTCGAGTGCCGTTAGTACTTCAAAATTATTCAAAAGAAAACTATTCTATATACATATACATTAATTTTATTTTTGCTTATATTTATTTTTATTTATAAAAATGTGAATGTACTTGATATGTAATATGAAAGTAGTACATTATTTTTTTGTTTGTGTTTTTAGGAAAAACGTTAGCTGCTAGAGGTGTACAGATGGATGCGTGTGACAAATTTATAATACATTTGACCAAAGTTTTAATAGGAGTGTTAGAGATGCACCCATTTTGCTACGTGGAACTCATACCGACTTCCTTAGAGTTTTCCGTTTTTTATTGCTTTACGGAAGCCGGTCAGGCATTAACATTCGAGAAATTTATTATTCAATGCCTGAATTTAATGAAAAGTATTTTATTATCGACATATTATAGATCAGCTAAAGTTAGCGAAGGTACGTAAGCTGTATTATTTTTATATTATCTAAATCGTGTTCTATGTATGTTATCTATATTAATGATCAAGGAATCTTCTTTTATGAAAAACAGAGACGAAAGATCCATTGGTATTGAGGGCATGCCAATTGAAACAAGAATTTTTCACACCAGAAATATTAACAGAAATTTGCTCTAGGCTTGTCACGCATTATTTTCTTTTGACACCTACGGATCTTGAAATGTGGGATACTCAACCAGAAAGTTTCGGTAAGCATAATATGATATAACGATGCAGAGTAATATCATACAAAAAAATGATATTATTAAAATGTAAAACTATGGAAAGAATTATTTTTTCCAGCTGTTGATGATGGTGGAGAATCATGGAAATACAGTTTGAGGGTGAGTGATTAAAGACATTGCAAAAATTAACGAAAGATTAATTTTATAAATGTGATATTAATAATTGTAATGAATATTGTGTATATATAATGATTATTTATGGGGAATATATATTATATTGCAGCCTTGCACAGAATCCCTATTTTTGGCAATATTCCATCAGTTTAGAGACGTTCTTGCCTCAGTTTTGGTCGACCTGATGAAGCAACATCATCAACCTGTAGATCCTAACAATTTGCATGCGATTTTAGTAAAAGATGCAGTTTACCGCGCAGTCGGTTTAGCTGCCTTCGATTTATATGACGAGGTAAACAAAATATTATCCAAAAATGCTCTCATAAACATTTAATTGGTTTAATGAACGTTTTTTTTTTTTTATGTAACAGGTAAATTTTGATCAGTGGTTTTCGACGACTCTAAAGGAGGAATTAAAAGTTCGGAATAATAATTATTATAGAATTATCAGAAGACGTGTGTGTTGGTTAATCGGCCAATGGACGAGTACGTTGAAATTTTGTTTTAACTAATTATTTATTATATTTCATGAATATTTATATCATATTATCTTGCAGATATTAAATTGAGCACGGAGTTGAGACCCGAGTTATACAAGATCATGATAGAAGCATTGAACCCTGAAGAGGACTTGGGAGTTCGTTTAGCAGCGAGTAATGCTTTGAAACAGGCGATCGATGATTTTCAATTCAATCCGGAAGAGTTTTCTCACTTCTTGGAGCCAATATTTTCCTTATTATTTGCGCTTCTTAAGGAAGTGAACGAGTGTGATACAAAGGTACACAAAGAACTGGCGTTTATTTTTTATTTTATAATTTTACACTATTCTTAAGTTATTCCTTATAAATTTTTATATCTTTTAGATGCATGTGCTATATGTATTATCGTTTATTGTCGAGCGTGTTGGCAGTGGAATTAAGCCTCATGTTGGTGCACTTAGTTTGTACCTACCTGAACTTTGGCAACAATCTGAAGTATATAATATGTTGCGTTGCGCCATAGTTTCCACTCTGATACAATTGGAGAAGGTAAATATGCGATATATAAATAATAATATATTTTATCTTTGAATCAATAGATTGATCTTTTTCTAATACTATCCTGCATTTACAGGCGCTAGGTCCCGAGAGTGTTATTTTAGAACCACTGGTGGTAGCTGTTGTAGCTTTGAGTTGCGACGTTACTCAAGAAGGACATGTTTATTTATTAGAGGATGGATTGGAATTGTGGCTTGCCTTGTTGGAAAATGCACCCGCGCCGACCCCAGCTATAATGGATCTGTTCGCAAATATGCCAGCATTATTGGGTTAGCGATACGTTTAATAAACATTGTTAACAGTTTTATTAATCCTCGATGATTCGAGATAATCATAATCTTTTTGCTTATATTTTTAGATAAATCTACAGAAAATCTACGTCTCTGTTTGTACATAATTCAAGCGTACGTATTGTTAAACCCGCAAGACTTCTTCACTTATAGAGGCTCAATGGTCATCGAACCTCTAAGAACACTTCTGAGCGATTTACGGACGGAGGGTAGAGTGATGGCGCTGAGATTATTCGAGTTGTGTCTCAGAGCTTCCCCTCAACAGGGTGCAGAACTGATCAAACCCATTTTATTAAAGATATTTGAGTAAGTAATTTTGTTTCTTTCTTTCTTTCTTTTTTAAGAGATCTGTGTCATATGGAAATATTTAAAATATTCAATTTTTTTTACAGAAGTCTTTATAATGGTGAAGAGTATCCTATGATCATGACTATGAATCTATCTATTGTTGCAAGAGTTTTATTAGGTTCTCGCGATATTTTTGTACAGGTAAAAAACAATTCTATCCTAATCGCGATTTGCACTTGGACCTTCTCAAAGATAAGAATTGCTTTTGCAGGTGATAAGCGATCTCGCGCAGAATTTAGGAAACGAAACGAGAGAGGAGATCGTGCTCGGAAGAATAATATACAGATGGATCAATGGAATGCCGTTGGTATCTCAGAGTGAAAAGCGAAAATTATTAGCCCTCGCTCTCTGCTTTCTCCTTGGAGCCAACAGTCCACCCACGGTTCTTGAATATTTTTCGTACATAATATCGAATATCGTCGAGACGCTTAACGACATCACAAAGTTTGACGATATGGGCTATCCTTTCGAGTAAGTATTTGAAAAGTGTTTTTCTTATACGTAAATACAAATGTAAAAGCGATTTATAATGTAGTAAGGCCTCAATTATTTTAAATGATGTTATACAACTGCAACTCATAATTTCATATTTATTTATCGAAAAACTAATATTATTTTGTTTCTTTTTTCATTTTTATAATCATTTAAAACTATTTTATAGCCATTATTCGTTATTGAAAAATAATTCCTATGCGTCACATCTATCGCAATTACTTTAATTGATTGTACAGGCTTTTTATAAAAAGAGAACAGATATATCGATTTGTGCAATTAACGAATTGAAAATTGTTCCAGTTCTTTGATGAACACTGATCAGCCCAGTCCATCGCAGTACGAGGACGTGGATTACGAAACCGAGCATGCTCAACGACAAAAGAGACTCGCCTTCAGCGATCCTGTGCACAGTATATCCTTGAAAGATACGCTCCAAAGTCAGGTGAGAATTCTTCGTTGAGATCTGTTTTTAGATATTTAATTATCACTTATAAACTAATGATTTTTTTTTTTTTTTGAAATTGTTAGTTGATCACGCTACGAAATATAGTTGGGGATAATCAATTTGATCAATTGATGCTTACCCTCAATTCCGAGATCGACGAACAACTCAAGGACTACATATCGCTGTGAGGAAGGCGCAAGATCAAAACGCAATACAATAGAGGATTTCGACTATATAAGGTATGAGAAAGAAAGCTTTACAGCGCTCTTTTGTGAAACGGCACTATTTTATTGTATGATACTATCATCTGTTTCATTGTATTAATAATGTTGATAATAAAAGATCCTACTCTCTCTCTCTTTTTGCACCATTAGAAGATTCCTTTCTCCCCTAATTTTGCTTTTGAATACTCATATAGATGATTACGCTTTTATTTGACATTAGTTAATATTATATGCAATTTGATTTTCTAATCTATAGAAAATTTCGCATATAATTAGGAGAGGAAGATATTTTTTATAATGGTTTTTAAGAGATTGTTATAAATATATTAAACTAATGTTAGCATTAGTTAACAAAAATATTAGACATACATACACAATCAAATTATTAAATTATTATTTATTGCAGAATAGTTATCATATTACCACATCGAATTAATATACGGTTGCTTTATTCAATGATCTTCTGTTGCACTGATCATAGTTGCAACTGTGATTTTTTATTATGTTTAAAAACTTGTAGATGACGCGTTTACTTTTTTATATTCGGATATCATATTATGCGAACATGTATAATCTAATGCTTTTGTATATGAATGTATAAAAATGTCAAAAAGTATATATACAAGTATATACAAATATGGATATTGGAAAAGTATACATTGGATACATGTTGTCTTCGAGTGCGAATATCGAAGAATTTTTTAATTCATTTCTAAGTAGAAATAAAACTAAGAAGTTATCAACAAGATATTAATTTGTTCGATCATGTGTGCGTAATCTATATTGATATAAAAGAGATTAGTAAATATATTAATACAACGAAATGATTAAACTTTAACAAAATATCTTAGCGTATATATTCTTTATTATAAACATAATATTAATCTGTAATGAAAAAATCAATTGTTCATAGATAATATAAGTATATAATTATATATATCATTATATATATATAATTACATTAAATATATAAATTATAATAAAATATATATTTTAATTCTCTTTATATATCAATTGATGTGAAGTGGTGAGCGCGTCGAGGTTATATCGCACATCGATGTATCGCATATCGATATATCGCATATCGATATATCACACATCGATATTCCCACTCAAACGAGCGCGGCTATTCTCTCCCTCCCATTCGCGCCGCAACATGACAAGTAGGCTTGGGCATTTTAGGCTGTGTTCTGATATTCACTGCCAGTACTGAAATGCTATAGTTTACGTTACGTATACTATAAATTTTCAGTACTGGCAGTAATATCGGAACATGGAGTTAGTTCACCATAGGAAGCGCGCAATTTAGTTCATCCTTTCCCAAGTAAACTAATTCGTTCTTTTAGTTTGTTAGTTCGCGATTCCAGGGGGTCGATTGTATATTTTTTAAAAGAGTAAAAATACGAAAAAGTGCACAAATTTACTAGATCGTGACCAATATTGATCACGATCTAGTAAATTTGCTTGCTTTTCGCATTTTTACCTTTTTAAAGTACACACAATTGACTCCTGGGTTCAATTGCAGTTTTTTGTAGATGGGCTTTTTTAGCGGGAGGTTACAGTAGTTTTTAGAATAATTGTAAAACTGAAAACGAACTAATGAACTAGTAGTGGTTGTGAACTAGTTCGCTTAGTTCACTCACGGGAGCGCTCTTTCGAACTAGTTCATACGCGAACTACACAAGCCTACTCATTTGCCGTCTGACGTTGGCGCTGTCTGTTGGTCGTGCGCGAAATCGCGAACAGCTGTCCGTCCGTGTGGTCTGTGTCAAATCTTGGCAGGGGGTTAGTCGAGTGTGTTGGATCCGGATTGCGGTGCGTTGGCGGTGTGTGCTGTCTCCATTCATCGGAAGATTCTTCCTCGCGGTGAGTGTGAAATCGAACTTCATATCGTGTCGCGCGCTCTCGAATAGCTCCGTCTTTCGTCTTAGGCACTACAGAATGCATTATCACGCGTGTATAAATTCGTGCGATCCCGCTTTGCTCCTATCATGTGTACATATATACGTATACAACTCCACTCCGGCGCTCGATCGATTCGCGCGATTCGCTCCCGCGATGAATTAAAAACACCTGTCACCTGTCAAAGTCACGCACCGGCGATGACGTGTTGCTGCTCCGCAATTGTTATTGATATGTCGACTTCCTTTGAACGACGATATCTTCGTGACTGTCAATAATCAGTCGCTCGAGATAGCCCGGTAGATTTTTGAATGATTGTGAATGAGCGTGTGGGCGTATCACGTGGCTTGATAGTAGTATATCGTTATTTGTTCTGGGAAAAAAGAAGAACCATTGATCTTCTTCCTCGGTGTCTCAGATCTGTGCGCGTGCTCGATTTCCATTCTATTTACGTTTAGGAGAAATCCGGCTTTGACATTACATTACTGCTCTCTTCCTTTTCTCTCTCTAGATTATATAGTTTTATCTACGATGTATACCCGGGGACGTATAAACTTGGTTTTAATTGACGTCAATTGATTCTCATCCGTAGTTTAACTCCCAGAATGCTGTTTGAATTAATTTTACAACATCCTTTTTTGTTAGAATCTTATTAATACGTTTATTCACACGTAGGGGGATTATCAAATTTATTAGTAATGAAATTAATTTTTTAATATAGTAATATTATATATTTTATATATTATATATTTTATATAGCAATATCGATAGATCATTTTGACGGATTAACAAACTGCATTTTTGCATTTTACCATTAATTTGTAACAGATATTTTATTCTGGTTTTCAAGGATTAGCTAATTTTCCTCTCTCTCTCTCTCCATCTACAATATATTTTATAGTATTAATATTTATACAATATATTATAATTATACATATGTACTATGTAGAGAGTGATATGATAATTCAGTCATGTCCCAACATCGGTAGAATTGCCTCACTTAACTGCAATTATAGCTGTAATTAATATCGATGGCGACTGTCGTTAAATCGGAGATGTCAGCACATTTATTAAAGCCTGCTGATTTTCATTTCGGATGAATTTTGCAGATTCTGTTCGCGCGACAGGCGTCGAAGTCCAGGCAGATCGACCCTCTCGGCGATCGCACATCGCTAATAGCAGCTTAATGACAAATAATTTAATATTCAACACGCGGGTCAGCTCTGGAATTGCCGTTCGGCGAATGTGCGAGCGAATATTGATGCTGCGGAGTGCGGCAGAAAAACGCTCTCCCGCATTCGCGATCTCGCCCCGGCGTTTCTTTTTACCGCAATTCGTTTTGACCTCCGACTTTTACCGCGTGTCACATTCGTAGTCGAGTTGCTCGGCCACGAACGCTGCGCGCTTCCGGTCACGAAATTCAGGAATAGGTTTTTAAATACGTTTTTGTGGCTATTATTTGTTTTAATATAAAAAAAACGTACGTTATCAAATAATAAGATAAATGATAAATTTCTCAACTGATATACATATATTTTGAATTTAAATCACAATTTGAATTGAAAACATTAATTTCGAATGTTTTCTTAAATTAATGTAAGATATTTCCAGTGAATAATAAATGATTAAAGAAAATTAAGATAAATGAATAGAGAAGAATTGTGTAATTTTTTGTAAAGGAAAGCAAAAAATAAAAATTAGAAAATTTTTATTAATATTTTCATTTTTTTAATTTTTCGTAAAGAATTGCGTAATAAATACATATTATGAATTAACAAGTAGCGCAACACTAACAATTACTTAGCAATACAAGAGATAAGATAGTGATAATTCAAGAAGGAAGATAATTTTTTTTTAGAAATAATCTGAAAAAAATATACATTAACAGTATAAAAAAATAGATGCAGCATTTCAAAATAAATTATATAAATTTCTGAAGCATAGACAACTGGGAATATCTTATATTCTATATATATATATATATATATATATATATATATATATATATATATTACATTATTAAAAAATTGATTAAGTTTTTATATATATATATAAATCAAATTTTTATATTACACATTCTTATTCCCATATAGAGTTGACTTTTATCAATAAAACGAGTAGACATGAAATAAGCTGTTTATTCGAACGATATGATCGGATTATAGTCTATTTAATATGCACATAATTCAACATGATGAAATTTCGGTATTAATTAATATTTCACTACTTCGGATTCAAGGTGGGCGGCAGAATTTAATGTAACTCGATTTTATTACACTTCGCCAATAATTTATGTACAATTTTCATATAAAACACGTAAATTCTTCTTTATTGAAAAGATTATTTATATTTTAATGTCGTGCGCCTTTTCAGAATTTTCACGAAAATTGTAAATACGGAAATAGTAATGTATATATTACTGCAAAATTTTAATAATGTATGACGAAATAAAACTGCACGGGAAAACTGTCGCGTGTAATTTGTGACGACTTTGCATATAAATTTAAAGTGAATTGAAATGAATATAAAACAGTTTTTGCGAAGATACAATAAAATAATTGAGTGAAAAAATTTTGCCGCTGAATTTTGCGCGATAATTACGCTATCGCGACAAGTTATCGATCATCATCGATATCACAAATATATAAGAAATGATTTCATATCGTGATTACTTTGCGCGATGATTGGGATCGCGATTAAAAATAAACGTTATGCTGCAAAATGCAAATTGTAAATGTTTCCGATGTTTTATCTGCTAATGTCTAAATGCATCATGATATTTAAATTATACTGTCCCGTGTATTAACAGCATCATTTCAAATATTACATAGCGAGTCAAAATAGTGTACATAATACAATATATTACAATATATTACAATAGTTACACTTTAATCATAGTACAAAATGTTTGCCATGTTTTGTTTACTTTCAGTAAAATAATAATCGCGAATTGTTACAGAAATATCGTCATGACAAATAATGTTAATTCTTCACATTATCGCAGTAATTAATCTTGACATAAATCAATACGGGATATATTAATACATGCTTTGAGTTTTCATCAATATCATAATTATAGAATGAAATGGAAAGTTTATTGTGACATTTGCAAAATTCTGGTATTTTATTTCTCGCGTACATATGAAATGCGATAAATATTATATATATTATATATAATATAATTTATAATATATATAATATTATATTTAATAATTAATAATAATAAAATTATTTATATAATTAAATAAAATTATTTTAATGACAATTGGCTCCGTAAAAATTATTTATATTCTTTATTACAACACTTTGCTTTAAGTAAATTTTATTTTAAGTTAATTCTTAATTTTTAACATAGGAATTAATTCATTTTAATGCACTGCATTTGCGCATCATTATGAATTATTCAATTGTAACAGCTTTGCTCCTACGCGTTTTCTTTTAACGGAAATCGATTCCTTGGGAAATGACGATAGTACCCATCACCCGTAAGATTAGCGTATCAGAGCTGTCGATTTTCATTTTGTCATTTTAACAATTTAGCGATTATTAGAAAATCGTTGTAGCAAACGTGGAATTTTCACAGACTTATTGGCAGTGTTTGTATAACGTGAAATTTTCGCGATCGATAAGGTCAGATTTTTGATAACTTAGCTCAAGATAGAACTTACTATAGTATATACGTATAATGTGAATCATACAATAACCAGGGAAATTATATAAATATATAAAGCATCGCATGTGTATTTAATTTTATGATTTTTGAGCGAAATTTAAAAAATGAAGGATTATTTCGTGTGTCTCCGTAAAATCATATTTATGTCTGAATAATCTCTATATACAATATTCATATATGTATAATTTTATTTTCTTTTTACTTTTATAATATTATTTTAGTTATTATATTACTGCAGGATTATGTCATATTATTTCATCCTTTTTATTATCATTACATTTTATATACGTTTTATTTATATATTTCGTATTGAGATAGATAAACTGATCAGGACCTATATTTTTGTTTCTTTTTCGAAAATAACTCGAGAAAATCTTTTCTTTAAAGTATAATATTTAAGTTAATTATTTTTCCTTTGTGACGTTTATTATAAATAATATGCATTTACGGAAATGATGGTTTAAAAATTGTCACAAAAATAAGACAAATTTTATAAGGAGTTGTGCCACGTATTTTGAAACAAATATAAAACATGTGAGAAAGAGGGAGAGCACACACCGTAATACAAAATATATTACAAATTAATTTAGATAATTAGAAATGCAAACATGTTTTATATTTTTTCAAAACACGTAGCACAATTTATAAAAATGTATGTCTTATTTTTTCATATTTTTGTGATATATTTTTAAATCATCATTTTCGTGCATTATTTATAATAAACGTCACGATGGAAAAATAATTTGTTTAAATATTATACTTTAAAGAAAAGATTTTCTCGAATTATTAATTAAATATTAATTAGAAATGCAAAAGCATTTGCTTTTATTATTATTTAGTGCAATCTAATTAATATTTAATTAATAATTTTGTAAATAATATTTCAATAATATTTAATTAAAAATGAATAATTTAATTAATAATTTTGTAAATAATATTTCAATAATATTTAATTAAAATAAATAATTTTTAAATTTATTAAAAATTTTTGTTTTAAATAAGAAGAAAATAATTTGTGTTAAATAAAAATCTGATAAAATATTTCAAATAAAAAATCCAGACAATTTTAAAATTTATCTTCGGAATCTAAAAATCAAAAATATCTTCACACACTTTCTCACGTGTTTTATATTTGTTTCAAAATACGTAGCATAACTGCTTATAAAATTTGTCTTATTTTTGTGACATATGAGATACAATAAGACACTGCCATTTCTAAAACGTGTCAGATAGTGTTATCAATAATGTGACAAAGGATGCGAGACGCGTGGCCTCCTGCTGGCGCGCGAAT